CATATAATTATTACATACTATTACTACAGTATACCCACAAACATTACTAAACATTGAGTTCTTCAAGTCTTACTACCAGTACCACCAGTATATTCCACTGTACTCCACACAACCCTTCAACATCCGGTCGCCGGACCCCGGGAGCCCTGTCTTCCGCGACACCGGACGAGTGCTCCGTCTTCGTGGTCGCGACGCCGCGACAGAGCCGCTCTGTCTCCCCCCGGTGTGGCACGTGAAGGCCGGATATGGCTTCGCGTTCACCACGCTGAACACCTGCGGATCGTCGATGACATGGAAAGGACCGGCGAAGTTCACGGGATCTCGCGGTGCCTTGCTGTCAGGATCCCAGTGAAACTCCTCCTTCTGCGCTTCCTGTGGACATGGAAGGCGGGAGTGCGAAGACATGGAAGGCCGAACACTGTTGGGCTGTAGGGGGGCTCTTCTGGTAGAGTTGGTCAAACACACATCATCCTTTCTAGTGTACAAGATTCAGTTGCATCAAAGGTCGACAAGGCACAAACAAGTTGTCGATGGACCAAGTCCTGCGCCACTTCAAATATCTTCAAATACCTTGAGGATATCCAATGCACCTTTTGTGTGTCACCTTCATAAGCACAAGTGCTATGAGCCAGCGAACAACTGGGTCTGAATCCATTCAAAAGCTTTGGCAGATCTCAGGTGGCTTTTCGGGGATTTCTCTTATCCTGTCCCCCTCCCGGTCCTTCTCTGGCACCGGGAAGATGCCCCAAATCGCCGGGTGCGAGCGATGCACCTGAAGACTCGGCGTAACACTACCCTGTGCCTTCGGTGAAGGGAAACTAGAAGAGTCTATCCAGCCAGGGCCAGGGATGGAACGTGAGTGAATCTTTGGCCAGCCATCCATCTTACTGGTCCAAAATCGAACCCACAAACGAGAAACAAGCGGATGCGGCGGCTGCAAACGGTGAGTGTGTGTTTGTGACCTTACCTTGGCCGGTCTGAGTCAGTGAGGCGAACCGGGGTGACCGGACGGATGCTGCTCAAACCCGTCGAACGCCACGGTGGGCGGCAATCGTTTCGCTGTTCAATCTGTATCTGCTATAGGAACTAATTGAATAGATGGCTGGCAGAATCCTACCAACTGAACCTATCAATGGAATTGAACACAATGGAATTGAATGTATCGGTTTTTTCCTCCCTCTCTCTCTCTCTCTCTCTGGTTTTCGAGTGTCTTGATCGGTACTCAAGAAGTGATGGTCAGACCGGGCCAGAAAGTCCCCATGGCACCATTTCAAGTGATACAGTATATGGTTGATTCATGATTGTTTCCAGAAGAACTCACCACTTCTAATGGATTCTTTGGGTTTAACATGGTTTAAGACTGTTTGAGAGGTTCTTTTTCTTTTCGGCCAGGGTGATCCTTTTCAAGTGATCCTTGGCCGGATCACCCCCAAACCGAGACTCCCACGACCACACACCCGCGGCAAGCACTGGGAAGGTAATTCCCCGGCCACACGGACACCATGGCACATTGGCCGTGGTCTGCCGTGGTCTTTGTGCGCTGAACGTCGTTCCACTCGGTGGACGCTCGGGCTGGCGGGGGTGATGTAAGGAGCAAAGCTAAAGATAAAGAGTGGGGGAAGAAATGGAGGCTTTGTGCTAGCGTCACTGGATGCCCACGGCCACCCATGTGTGTGTGTGATCATGTGTCACATGTAGCTCTCACATGAAAGCATTCTGGTCAATGGCATTATTTCATTTTACTTCTGCAGCTTCTTTCTCCAGCAAGGGCATTGAGCCGGGATTGGACAATGGAAGTCGTTGCACTTCACCCAGGTCTTTGGGTTGGGGTGCAGCTAAGCAGTCTCAGCTGAACCTGAGCACATGGATGCAGCCTTCATTGATCTTTATTGCTTCAACTGGCTGCCAGTAGCACCCGAGAAAACAGCCCAGGTCAGTGGAGGTCCCCTTTGTAGAACTCATCTGCTTCAACCTGACCCGGAGGACCCCCCCAGACGACCTGATTCGGGTGATGAATGGTTTCTGGGGTGCGACACTTTGATCCCCGCATCTTCGAAGGTTTCTGACACTTCTGCATCACAAGATCTACCTATGATCTACCCATTTGCATCCATCTGCCTGCAAGCTTCACACATTTTTCAGCTGACAAAAATGGATGACCACTGCAGCTTATGGGTGCTTCAACCGAAGAGACGCTCCCCCACGAAGGGAGGCCCGCCATTTTCTATACCTGTTTAGAGAAAGAACGATTTCTGATTGATTTTGAGGAGCTTGATTTTGATTGATTTCTGATTGACTTCTCCCATCTTCTCGCTATTCTTCCATCTATGGGGAGGGGCTCGAGCCTTTTGGGGGGCCTCGGGAGACCATGTCCGCGATTGAGATGGACCTCTGTTGGCCCAGCACCGTTCGCAGTGTCAAAGAGTGAAACCGAAAAACGCTCGCAGCTGGCGGACGGCTCTTTGCCGAAGCCAGGCCCAAAATCACAGCGTTGCTAGTCACTATGGTTTGGACTGCTGTCCTGCGACAAGATGATCTGAAGCCAAACGAACACATTCGGAACCCGTGGCGGCAGAATGTTTGGTGTTTGCAACACCTGGTCCCAATCTATGATACTGTAAATCTTTGGCCACGGTCCCTGTGATCAATCTTGATGCCTCCATTGACAGTCCCCGTGCTGATTCAGCATTTCCTGTTTGAATGTTATTAGTTTAGAGTTTAGACAGTCGCATCTTCATTCGGTGTGACACCAGACTACATGATTTAATCCCGTCGATCTTTCTACCCAATCAATCAATCAATCAATTTATTTAATTGCTTGTAATATTGAAGTTGCGAAAGCCAACTCTTGTTGAGGAGTGAGTGAGAACTGAGGAGCGTAAGTCAGGGTCAGGATATGGTCTGAATTGGAATCACATGGGGACTTGGAAACACAAGTCCACATCAAAAATTCTCAGTTGCCTCTCCACATCAGTTGTCCTCTCGACATTGACCACTTTGGGTAGAGCTGCTGTCCCTCCGGTCTCTCCTTTGCCAAACCAAAACCATCTACAGATCGATGTCTTGGACCCCAAACAAAGGCAGATCCCCAAGCCTGTCGAGATCGATATCGATCTTCAGTTGCGCTTGCTGGTCGCTCTCAGACCCCCCTAGACACCGAGAAACCCGTTGTACCCGAACCGAGCCGACTTCGAGGAACCCGAATCCGATCCGTTGGACCCACACCACTCCAACCCAGTCCCACGCGGATGTCCTAGGCCTCGCAAGGCATTGGGCATTTCTTGGGCGTCGCCTTGTGGACCGCCACCTATAGAAGCGAGATCAATAGAGAGAAGACTCGGAGGTGGAGGGGAAGGGGATGAAGTGAAGGAAGAAAGCGAAGACACCAAAGAAACGTATGAAAGTGCAACATACTGTTTGGATATGTTGGGCATTGTTGGGCATATTTCTTGCATTTTCTTGCCATATTGTTCTTTATTATTCCAACTTGGAAAGCTGAAAAGCATCAAACGGCGTGGCGTTCACCAGTCGTTTTGGAGAAACAGCTTCGACCAACGAAGCAAGCAGCTCTTCTGACCCCTTGAGCTGGAGCTTGATGTGTTCGAGACAAATCCGCAGCGAGCTATAGCAACGACCACTGATTTGACTCCTATAGGATGGGAGTTCATGTGTGTCGCATCAAAACAGGGGATCAAGCACTTCTTCAAAGCCCTTCAAGATCCTTCAAGTATTGTACATTAAATGTCGCTTTGATACCATGCAAATCCATGCAATACACAACGCAGTGACTTGGGTTCTTCGGCTAGGCGGCGTTCTCCGAGTTCTTCGGAGCGACGCTTCGCGTCTGACGGAAACGTGCCTGGAAGTCATGGAAGCTGGACTCCTTGGTCAGCCCCTTGTACCTGCCAAATCAGGGCCAGTCTTTTTGGCAAAAAGCTTGGAGCCTCTTTTCCTGGACTCGCTGCGCAACCATCAGCAACTCACATGTTTCTAACCCTGCCTACGACTTACGACGCTTTCGCCTTTTTGTGGGAGTAAAGCGACTCGCTTTCCGTCTCCCAATTTCCCCATCAATCGCTGGAAGCGAAAGGCCACCGATCCGGCGCTGTTTGACCGACCACGGACCACACGGTCGACGGTTTCTCTGCTCAAGGCATGTGAAAAGCCGCTCCGGACCGCTGGACGATCCACGGACGGCGCACGTTGGACCGAAATGCACCTTCTGGGCATCGGTCACCTTCTAGAACAACTGTTGGAGGGTCCGTCTCGTATGTACATGGTGGGCTATCTTGGAATGTGCAATGTAGCCGTTTGGCAAGGATCACAGTACTCCATGTAACCCATGAGAATCCGATCGTTTTACACTGGACCTACTTCTCCTGCAGCCACGAGCCTCACGAGTCTCTCTCCATTTGGTCCTTGGGCGCACCAGGTGGGATGCTGGGTGATGCCGCTCTTCATGGCCTCGCAGCGCGTAGCGGTGCCACAATCGTCCAAAAGAACGAGGCGGGTTGACTGCCAAGCTGGACTTGGGCGGGTCTCGAGTGGGTTGACCTCCATCAAGTCAAACGCCCAGAGCGAAGGAGTTTGTCGCCAGTCAATAGGTAGAAGCTTCGGGGGGGGCCGCAGAATCTGGAGACAAACCCGTGGATGTTGGTGTAGGATGTGAACCCAAATCTGGAAATTTAAGAGAAACTAGTGGCTGATCCTGTGAGAAGAGGCAGCAGTGATTATGGCTTCCACTTCCGCTTCGTTCGCAAACAGCTGTAGTCTCCCTTGGCGGAGACCAGCTGGGGTAACTGCCTACAAATGCTGAGGGTTCTGTCCAGTCCACAAAGGTCGATGTTCCCTCCTTTGAAGATGTGGACCGTCCACTGATTGGATGTCGTTCTATCATAGATCGTTCTGATTTGAGCCAACCAAGAACCAATGGTAGCAAAGGAGGACATGCAAGCTGATGGATTGAATGGACCCCAAAAAACCAGTCCCACCCGCTTTGTTCAATCTATGCGCCAAGCAGCCCACTTCACAGCAGAGTAGCAGTGCTCTCCAGCCACTGCCGTATGACATCCCGCATCTTTGGTGCAGGGCAGTGGGCAGTCCTTGGGGTTCACGTGATGGACACGCGCCTGGCAGGATGCACCACCCGCAGGATCGGCCAGAAAGGCACGAGTGGGTCGGGGTGTTTTTTGACCAAGAAATCGGGTTCCTAGTAGCGTTCTTGTTCCTAGTAGTAAGGCCAGGAGCCCCTAGTAGCGTCCTTGCTCCTAGTAGAGATGCCAGGAGTTCGTAGCAGCGCACATTGTTGTTAGTGCTTAGAAATCAGTTCTGAGGCAATGAAGGACCTCACATGGAGCTGCAAACTCTTCGGAGTTTCGTGCCCACACAGGCAGGCAACGTTCCAAAGCAATTGCCTTTGATCGTTCTATACCTCTTCCGGCTGTAGGTCTCTTTGGACGTTCTTCCAAGAATGGCGGGTCTCCGCAAAACGCTTGCGCCACCTGGAAGTCCGAGAAGGGGGAGGACGAGGTGAGTCCCGGGTACCTCAGCTCAGCCAAGGCTGCGAAAGCTTGCTGACCCCTATATATAGTGACTATCTATCTAAACCCAGACACTCCATGTATGCCTATGCCCGCATTGGGGTGGTTTGGGGGGTCAATGTAGGTATATACGGCATACATGGAGTGTATGGGAAATGAAACAAATTTTTCACCTCTGGATCACACGCGGTCGACAATTTTGTCGTCACATTTCACTGAAAGGACACACACCAAAACCATCCAAAACCACCATTCCCTTCCAACGAACATGGAAGTGGATGGCACCTCCTTGTTTGATAGAGAATCCGAGAATCCCAGGGGCCTTGCCATTTACATGTGATGTCTTCGTTTCGTCGAATACGCCGTTCGCGCGACCTCTCCGCTGAGCGACCAGGTGGGGTGCAGCTTCAATCCGTGCTCCTTGGCCCAGGTCACTGCGGAGTAGCAGTGGGTGCCGAACTCCGCATCCTCACGAGTACCGCCCCGGCAGCACGAAAAAGAGACGGCAGCACGACAAAAGGACCGTGGTGGGTCCTGGAACTGAAGGCCATGGTCTTTGGATGTCTTTGGTGATTCGTTTTTGTGCAGGGCTCGAAAAATGCCGATCTGGATGCTTTTGGTCCGGTCACTTGATCCAGCCCGCCTTGCAGCCAGCAGGTGTGCTCAAAGCTGTCTTGGTGGTCTCCTCTGGAACTGGTTCCTCTGGCAGGCGCCGGAGAGAGCATCCGATTTCCAAGCTTGGGAGCCAAGTTGAGGTTCAAACAACCTGTTGATTGTTGTCTGCAGCTGAGATTATCTCACTATATATATATATATAGTACCCCCGAAACAAAACCAACCCTTTCATCACATTTATTTGTAGTTACAGTCGTTTATGTATTTTTTTGCTATAAACGGTCTAATTAAAATACAATGCACTTTACAACGACAACCAGCAACAAAACAACAAACCAAAACAAAGAAAAACATAGAATTTAATGTTTGGCTCAGCCTCAAAAAATGTTTTTTTGTTTTAATTGTTTTTGGTTTTGAAAATACAAAAACCAAAAAAACCCTTGTGCTTTTTGGTTTTTAACGGTTTATGGTTAAAGATAATAATACCTTATGTGTTTTGTTTTTTGGCTGTATTCTGTGCTTTGGTCCTTTGGGCTTTTGCACAACCTGTATATTTTTATTGGACATTGACTTAGATTTGAACTGAACTATAATCAAAATTTCATTGAAATTTATTTTTTTGTATTTCCAATGAACTTCGAATTTAGATCTAGTTCAATCCTTTTTTTAAATGTTTTGCAATTGTAGCTTAATTTTTTGAACCAAAATTGACATGAATTCATAAAGATAAAGCTTTTTGATAGTAAAGTATAAATCTATTGAACACTAATTTAGTGTAACTACCATTTAAATCATACTTAATTCTACTTTTAGAAGTGCAACATCGAATTTGAATCTGATTGAATTCAGAAAGAAATCCATTGATTTCTAATTGAAGTTTAGTTTCAACCTCCAATTTGATCTTAATTCAGTTCTAATTGACTTTGCATTGAATTCTAATGTAGTACCATTATAAATGTCATTTAGTTTTAAATCTCACTCAAGTCTAACTCTATTTTATGATTACAGTAACTCACTTCTAAGCGAGCTGCAGGTTAAGCAATGCTATTTAAATTATATCTTAATTCTTTTCCACTTCTACTTGAAACAACAAAAGTTTATTTCAATCTTAATTTATATAATTCAAACTCAATCATGAATTCAGTCTAATTTGCTTTTAACTTATCTCGAAGTTAGTTCAAATTTATACAGTTGTATGTCAACTTAATGTAGTTTATATTTCAACTTACTTTGTAATTCCCTTTTAGTTTCCGCTAGTTAAATCTTATACACTAATTCAGCTTCAGTTGTTTAAAAATCTAGTTTAATTATGCTTTCCAACTTAATTTTGGTTACTTCTAATGTAATCTTAATTCGTTTCTAGTTCAAAGCAAAGTTATTTCTAATTTAATGCACATTGAATTCTGACTTTATTCTAGAGAGAGAGAGTGTTTGCTGGGGGGTCTGATTTTAAGAAAACAACCTTTAAGAAAGCAACATAATTTGCAATATAGTGTTTACAGTGTTTTTGCACATTTTTGTACAACACAATTTCCTATAGAAAACCAAAGTTCCAAAACTGCAGACCCCATGACCCGACCACAGCCACTCTGGGGACATAGGTTTGTGCAGTTTTTGGAACTTTGGAACTCAAAGTTCCAAAACTGCAGACCCCATGCCCTGACCATAGCCACTCTGGGGACATAGGTTTGTGCAGTTTTGCAAAACTGCAGACCCCATGCCGTGACCATAGCCACCCTGCGGACATAGGTTTGTGCAGTTTTGGAACTTTGGAACTTTGGTAGTCGAGATAATTTAAAAGCAGGTGTTTTTTTTGGGGGGGCTAGCATATATATATATATATATAGCTACATACATACTTTGTATTTTACTATTCCAGAATCCCATACTTTACATTATTCTCATGCGATGTTGGAAGTCAGTTGCATCAGTCTTCCAGGTGCGTGGTTGAGCACTGATAAAATGGGATGCAGTGAGGATGTCAAGGTGTGTTCCAACACGTCACCACGTCTTAGACATGCGGAGAAGTCTGCCACTGGGTAGCTGCAACGGCCCCCTGCTCGCTCTAGTTGGTCTACGAACAGGGAAGAATGGTAAATGGTTTTACAAGCCATGCTAAGCCAATGCTAGCCTACCAGCACCAACGACCAAGGTAATCACACAAATTGCATTCAAAATGTGAGTCTGCTTGATCAACTCCGTCCTCAGTAGTCTCAGCCTCAGTGGTCTCAGCCTCAGTGGTCTCAGCCTCAGTCGTCTCAGCCTCAGTTGTCTCGGCCTCCGTAGTCTCAGCCTCCGTGGTGGCGGTCTCCGTAGTCTCAGCCTCAGTGGTCTCTGCTTCCGTAGTCTCTGGCACTGTGGTCTCAGCCTCAGTGGTCGGAGCTTCGGTGGTCTCAGCCTCCGTGGTGGCGGGCTCCATTGTCTCTGCCTCAGTAGTTGCCACCTCGGTTGTTGCTGCCTCGGTGGTCTCAGCCTCAGTCGTTGCGGCCTCAGTGGTGGTTGGAGCCTCGGTTGTTGCGGCCTCCGTCGTGGGCGCAGCGGTGGTGGTGAGATATGAAGGATCCTTACCATAGAAGGCGGTGAAGTTGAAGTCGCAGGCTGGCGCTTCCTGAGTTCAAAACCGGCGAACATCCGGATGTGACCTATACACATCTGAGACCTGCTGACCAAAATGAGCTTAGTCGTACAGTACAGCTTTATGTATAATATTACACTGATTACACAAGACTGACCCTTTCGAAACTGGCCTAGTCAACAACAGTTGCTATGGAAACAAAGTATGGTGGGAAAGCCATCATGGAGCTAATTTCAGCTTCAGGGGAAGGACATGACTTTCTTTCGAGCAGTGGAAACCGCTTGTCGAGTTGAAAACAAGGTAAGGGAAAGTTTTGAACCACCGGTTCTTGTTGTTATTGTTTTTGCCTTGTCATGATTCTCATGGTTCTAAACTCTAAACATTGGCCAAGTATGCGCTCCTCTGTCCACTCCAAAATTCTCATGGTTTGCACCTCCAAAGCAAGACAGCACACGTCGCGAACGCGGCAACCGCCGCTACCAGGACATCCAATCCCTACTCTCCCATTCCAAACCATTCCAAGCCATTCCAAACCTTTTGTGTTTGATATTGGGACCCCATATAAACCATTCCAACTAAAGACATCCATGGCCAAACTTATTTGATCTCGCTTGGACCCGCCCTTTTCCCATGTCTTCGTATACGTCTTCCCGACCACTGATTCAGGGCTCCATGTCCTCATCCAAGGGCTGATCGGGATACTTCTTCTCAAACAAGGCCCTCACCTTCTCAACCCTCTCAATGTTCTTGGCTGTGACGTTCATGTTGTTCCTGCCATTGCAAAGCAGGCAAACACGGTTTTCTTACGGTCCGCCTGAAAAAGGACTGTCCAGGGTGTTCATGGGTTTGATAACCCCTTCCAAGAAGGATGATTCTTGTATATTCTTGGTATATGATGGGTGACAACTCTCCAAACGTGTGGGTTCCAATCCAGTGCGTGACATCAATTGAAATCATATGAATAATACGATTGAATCTTGCAGGGTCTAAATGAACCTCTGTCGCATACGGTCGCATAAGTCCATGGGACTGCTGTTGTCAAGCTGCACGGAGGCCCCAAACACGGCGAGGCACGGGTGTCCAATCGATGTTTCAGGTTGAACGAGGGTGGCAACAAACATCACCACCAGTACCACCTCCGATGTTGAAGAAGTAACAAACCTTTGTGAGGCGCACGAAGAAAAAAGAAAGGGTCACCGCAGCCACCGCCATCTGTGGCCGAGGATCCAAAAGGTGCACCCCTCGCCCTTGTCCAAGGTCTTGTTGAACTCGACGCCTCCTGCGGCCCAGCCACTGGGTGCACAGCTTTAGACTCCCATTCATGAGGTGTCTTGGCGAATCCACATGTAGCACCGACTGCGCCAAAGCGAGACATCCAGAAAGACGTGTGTAGCCCTGTTCTGAACGTCTCTGCAAGCACCGAATGTCTGGATCCGTGCTCTGTCGTTTGGATCCGTCGCAGTCGTCCAGTCCTGTGTGAATGAATTCGTGGTAGTCTTTGATGCCGTCCTAGGCTGGTCCAACACCGAAAGACACAGCCATGGTCGGTCCTGTTTTGGTCCTAAGAATCGCATGTGGGTCTCTATAGCATCGAAGGATGCGAAAGAAGGCTCGCTGAATGGAAATAGGCATGGATGGGAAAGGTTTCCATCTGTCATTTGTAGTGGTTTATATCTCTAATATATATATATATATATATTATTTACTGTATACAATACAAAACGATATATACTATAATACAATATAATGTAATTATAGTAATAATATAGTTTATTAGAATACATATGAGAATGATAATGCAATATGATATATATATAAATGTGAGTACTCATGTGAGTTCTTCCGGCAGAAGAGTTCTAGTGAAGCTCTACCATTGTCGGAAGAAGTTCTTCCACCTGTGCAGAATCTTTTCCTACTTGAAGGGTAGTTGACAGATGAAGGGTAGTTTATCAATGAATTTTTATGACTTGATCAGGTTTATCAGGTGCACCATCACAGAATATTAAAAACACCCTCGCTGCTCCAACCTTCGGTCCCATCTCACCAGCAGATCGATCCAGGCGTCGATCTCATCGATGGTCAAAGAGCCGACCACCTCGATACTGTAGGTGCAGTTGCCTCAAAGTTGCCAAAGCTTTTGGCTTCAACAGGCAAGTGGTCCCCCAGAACACAGCAACATAAGGTCGTAAAGGGCATCACCGTCTGAGCATGTTGCCTGCACAGACTGTACACCATGAATCTGTCGATTGGACCATGAATCTGTTGATTGGAAGGTTTGTTCTTCATTTCGAACGTGTCCCGAAATGGCCCCAAATAGATTGATGGAAAGTCTGTCCCATTTATTGGACTTGCATTGGCGTCACCATTTCTGTATCTAGTTTGGGACCTGGCCCTTGATCCTTTTCGCACATGTGGAATGGTCAATGTCTTTTCACTTCGCCAAGGCCATGGATGGTCATGACGAGCATGATGAGTGACCATCTAGGTTTGTGGCTTGTGTCCAGTACATCATTGTATATCTCACCTGACCCTCAACACGGGAGTGAGCCCATGCCTCACGTGTAGTTCCACACATCCTTGATCCACTGAGGTGCTTTTGTTTGATCCACGTTTGATCCACCGGTGGAACCAATGTCGCTTCTACATGACCTATCACATCTCTCTGAATTGTCTCTTTCCCTCACTCTCTCTAATGTATATATCTAGAAAAATGAATCGTTCATCGAATGGGAGTATATAATGATGAATCCAACATTGGAACCATTCATATGCAAGAGAAACAACAACCATCACTCCTAGCTGGACCGCTCAACTCTCTGAGAGCTTCAGGAGAACCAGCTGCCACATGGGGTTTCAAGATCCAACTACACTCCCCTATATTTCATCATGGAATTGAGACGCACGGCCCCTTGGATGACATCTACAAACAGCTGGTGCCATGCACTTCCATGATGATTCCAGGGAGTGTAGAACTTTCCCAGCCTTCACCAGCCTCTTCCACTCCACGAAACGCCTGCATCGCACTCGCGCCGCGCTCACGGCGGCCTTGGCCAGTGGGTGTTCCATCACAACGACCACCTGGCTGCTCCTTGATGCACTTCGCATCCTTGTCCTGACTTTCGGGCGGCTGCGCAGGTCCAGAGGTCCCCAGGCTACTGGAGAAGCACTGGTTCGTCCACCCTCCGTCCATTCTGTGGGTACGCGGTACGCATACTCTCCTTGCAGCTACTGCTCTGCTTCTTGCAAAAGTGCTCTTAGAAGCCAACCTATTCTTATCATGTTTATCTATTTCTTGACATGTAAAAAAGAAGTACAATGTTTGGGGAGAGAGTAGTGTGCTGGTCCATGAGCTGCAAACATCAATCGTTCTGGGAAGATTTGAGATGCGTCTTGCTGAACCGGACAATTTGACATCAAGGAACCTATACCGGGGTGGCAACTGCTTAAGCTGTTGTCTCCTCCCGCTACATCCTGCTAGATACTCATAGATACTCGGATTCATCTCGGATTTAACATCCTGTGAATCCCACTCTCGTCCCGTCAGCAGTTCCAGTCATCTAGCCCAGCCCTCGCTGCCATGTCCCAGTCCAGCACACCGGTCTGGGCCGCGACCGGTCACTCTCCTGGTAGGTCTTGGAGGAGCAAGGCCCTGGAAGAGCATACCACTTGGCCTCAGGGGCACGAACTTTACCGGTGCTACGGGGGCCTCCAAAGATCCTGGGTGCTGAACCTGAAGATCTTCATTGGATTGAATTGGGGGTCTATGAAATTTAGAGAGACCTGGAAAAAAACCTGCAGAAGGGAAATTGTCCAGTCTACCCATGGGTGTGGGATCTCCCTATTCATTTACAGTTGACCCAGGTCCGGAAGCGAAACTCGGTAGTCCTTTTTGTGTTTTTTCTCCAAACATGTCCCACACGTCGTGCGAAAACCCGGATTTCGGACTGAGAAGGGTCGGTGGGAGGAAGTTCAGTGTGGGACCTTTGGGTCACCCAGCCATCTTCGAAGAGTTTCCAGCCATCTTCGCTGGTGGCGATGGGACGGGGGCGGAGACCCCGAAAGAGGCTCGATCGGCACCTGATAAGAGGCTCGATGGTCAGATGGTTATCACTGCCCTGGTCAGATGGACCTTTGGGATGAAGGAATTCTCTCAAAGGTGCGACCTCGGCCCGACCACTCGGTGGTACGGCTGATAATTGTGTTAAGAAATGCGTTCAATATGCAATTAGACTCTATACTTTCAGGGTTGATTTTATACTCTAGAGTCTAGATTCCGAAAAACATATATCTGTGAAAAAGAGTTATATATTGATATATATTATAAGTAATATATATATCCTACATATTATATATATATATTGATTGAATTATATTCAGTAGTTGTACACAAAGTGACCTGGACGGCAGCTGGACGTTTCCAAGCTACGCCGGGGTAGTGAATGTCATAGGTTGGGAAGGGGAAGGAGCCGAGGTTGTTGCAACCCACGAAGTACCTTAGGGCAAACAGCGAATGAGGGACAGTGGCACCAGGACAACAAAGGAGAAATCGATGCAAGCCTGTCATCTTTGGAGGATTCTATCAGTTCATACCACCCCAGGATCTTTCCATAAAGCATTGAGGGAGGTTCACATCTGCCAGGGTCTCACTACCCTCCCCGATGTGGGTGATCAAATACAAACATGCAGCATCCTGCCATGGACCATGGCCGTTTCAACCATGCAAACATCCGCAAAACCGGAACCGAGCTGAAAGACTCATGTTGACCATCCAAGCAACGGTCTCCAACCTAGAAGCGTTGGCCTCCAACCTAATACGAGTAGCAATGGCAGGATCCAAACACTCCAGGAATATGAGTGCTCCCGGCGTTGGCACGTCAGTCCTTCCTGTCGTGCTGTCCAAACGTGATTCTCCCCGTGTCACAAGGGACCGGAAGCCAGTGAGGGACCAGGGGGGTCAGTGCGACCGGGTTCCGGGCGTTCCGGGAAAGGCTTCTGCCGTCGTTTGCTTCGGAGTCTTCCCAACGGCTGGGAGTCTCGACGCTTCACTGCCGGGAAAACCCCCCCAAAAGACGTCTCTTCACTCCGAAGTCCAGTGAAGCCTTTCTTCACTTCGAACAAAACGCCGCGCCCTCCGCCCTTGCCAACATCGAACGTGGATGGAAGTGGTCTAATAAACCAACTGGCGGCGTTTTCAGGGCGTCTCAACCTCTGCAAGCCTTCGGAACTCAGTGGTCTTTTCCACAGGGTTCCACCCTTCCATAGCAAGTCCTTTCAGCTTTTCACGGTCCCAAACAATCCCAGTGACCAGTATATAAGGAACCATGACCTCTAGGTCTGCAGTTTTGCAACTACTGGCTACCAGCTATAAACTGGATGTCCTGGGGTGGCTCCGCCCCATGTTTGTTCCTCTCCCAATTCCACTGCCACGTGGCCCGAAGCGGTCGTAGTTCAGGTCGCAGGACCATGGGCCATCGCACTGCGCGGAGTCGTAGGCGAAGCGGACGCCGAAGTTCATGCCCAGGTCGTACAAGGGCGTTGTGGATTTCGTGGAGATCCTGGAGGGGTCTGGCGGTTGGGCGGACTTGGGCGGTTCATTGGGTGTTACTTCTTGTACCTACGTCTACTACATCTATTTTATTTATATGCAACTACATTTGCAGTATATATATATACAGTAATATATATATATATACGAGTATATATAATATTATATTATAGAGGGGGTGAAATGAAAATGAGGATGTGGATCTTTGTGAGATTCGTCAACATTAAACTTCTTCGACTTTCCAACAATGCCACTGACAACATTGTTAGGCCAGTTTGATGATCCCACATTCCCGACGCTTGCATGAGGAAACCCGGCCCGTTATGTCGTAGCTCTATCAATAACGTTTTACATCCAGCATCTCCAGTTATCTACGCTAGGCGACTAGATTTTCATCTGGCGGGAGTCAACGTGGAGACAACAGAACCATGGAGACTCTGAGGACGGTTCTCTGGATTGCTTTGCTCAATGAGGTTGGACACCAGAGGAAACATAAAGAAACTAAACAAATTAACAACTGATCCAATGCTCTATGCTTGTATGTGACAACTCACTAGTGACAGCCCGAGGAGGCAAATCACCACAAAACATACCTCAAACTTTGCTTCATTGCAACTTGGTACTGGCAAACAAGTCTGACTCCAAACATTGTGTCCATGCCCCCAAACCCATTGGTGAAAGAAACAGAATCCCATGCTGAAAGTCTCCTGGGTCCCTATAGGTCCTTTCTTGAGCAACACATCGACCTATAACTCGATATGACCTGAACACTATATCAAACACTCCTATAGGGACTATGCCTACACCCCTCAAACCATCCCGAACTGAATCGGTCAAAAGAATCCCAGTCCCAAGTCCCCTACCTGCCCAACCCGAACCACACAACCCGAAGTAGCCGGAGACGAGACGCTTGTAGCGGACGATCTTGGAGATGTTGAACTTCCTGGGCCGCACGAAGACCACCTGGCTGTCACTTCACCCGGCAGGTGAATGTTGCAGCGACGGTGGCCGACCGTCGAAGGCGGCTGAGTTGGTGGCTGTGTTCTGATTCAAAGCTGTTGACCATGCACAACAGCTAAGGCCTGGGGTTCCCAAACAATGGAAAGCACTTTGGGGAGATGAGAGATCAGAACCCGTCCCATCATCTGATTGCCTCTCTTCAGTTTTACCCCGAAACGAGGCCGTAGGTCATGGAGAAGCCGGGTGAGGCATTGTGAAAATGCAGGACTTGGCTTGCTTTCCTGGAAAAGGGGTCAACCTTTGGATTTGCGGGAGGGCGCCCAAACTGTATCCGTCACATGAGATGGACGTATTTCAACAAATGCTTTGTTGACAACATGCAGGAACAGCCCGGAAAAAACGCACTTACCGACAATGGCCCTATAAGATTGGCCAGAATGTTCAACATGGGATCTTAAAAGGTTCGCGTTTGTCACCGAGATGCGCTCCCTTCAACCCTCTGTCACCATCGATCGCGACCCGTCGCGAGGCTGAGCACCTCGTTTTGCAGGTACCACAAGGTGCCGGCCAAGTTCCCCACGTTGATGTTGTCCAGCAAGTCACTTCCCTCCGTCCGGGCTTTCTGCACGAATTCATGTTCTGAGGACTCCCCCATGGCCACTTCGGGGTTGTGCTTTCTGAACGGTCTGCGATGTCGTAGAGTCATCGATTCTTTTGTTTCAGAAACAACTCGTGTCAAAGGTACCAAAACATCGGTGATCCAACTTCTCGCTCCCAGAATAGGGGGCTAATGGGGGCCATCTAGCCTTGGTTTCTATAGGCATTTGCCAACCTTCTCTGGTTCATATTCACTGCTGGACTTCTACCCCGCTTCACAAGGAGAGTCCAACGGTTGCAAACGCAGCAGACTTCTTGCTCGACCATGTTTTCTGCCAACAAGTGGTTCCCCAATGCGAAGAACCTTTCAGGTAAAAGAATTCCTTCTTTGGTAACAAGGACATCAGGTGGAGGCCATCGCAAGTAGGTTGGAGGCCATCGCTACTAGGAACAAGAAGCTACTAGTAGCAAAGTAAATTCTTTGGCTTGCCCAATTCTCCAGCCTGATGGGAAAAACTCTTAGAGCCTCTTGAGCCTCTAGTACAACTGATGATGGAATATGTTGGAACTAGTTTCCGATGTGTTCATACCTATTTTCATACATGTTCTGCATCATTATCTTTCAGCTCAATAGATTTCAGGCTGGGTGCCGTCGTATGCTGAAAAAACCTCCGCACCCTCGCGCCTCTTCAGAGGAGGCGCGGTAGACGTAGAAGGTGAAGACCGGCGCATCGGAGGGCTCCTGCGTCTCGACTTCGTGCTCTGACGTGGTCGATGTCCACCGAGGGAGTGGTCTTGAGTTGGAACTGGTCAAAGTGACGAAGGGAATGATCTTTTTTTCATCTCTTTGGTTTTGGGGGACTGGGATTGAATGGGACTTCCCTCTTTTTTCCTTATACTCATTGAGTACCAGTCAGGATGTTCCGGGTGAATTCGTCGTTTCCTCTTTGGTCGCGGGTGACACGAGGGTGACACGAGTCAAAGCGCAGTAAACTGCGTTTCTTAGGATCTGAGACGCGAATCGAAGCGATTTGACCTGGGCTATTTGACCTGGGATGATTTACATAGCTCTCTGGTTCTTACCGAGAATCTTTGGAGTATTTCTTCATACCTCAACTATGTCGTGCACTCTTCAGACACCACAATACGTCTAAAGGTCCAGAACAAACAACTCCTGCATATTGTGGAACATATTCTGCTCAATCTCGCCAAGTTTGTGGGCTGTCAACACCTGCCCATTCATGTACTGCCCACCCGCAGGCGATCATATTTCTCGACGGTGCTCACACCTTTGGGCTTTGGGATCTTTTGAAAAGTCAATCTTGCGAGATTGGTACGTGGGACAAATGCCCTGAGTGCGTCAGCCAACAATCATTATTTCACAACAACTACAGACCATGGGAGAGCTCCCAGGAAAGGATTCCTTGGAAGTTCTAAACAAAGGATTCACAACTTGACTAGACAAACAATGACACGAATTCACTCCCTAACCACTGACCCCCCACCCATCAGTTTTTGATTGTTCCAACTCCTCAAGCGCTTTGGTTGGCTTGTAGGGCATGAAGGGTCCACCCTTCGCCTTGGATCAAACAGCCGGATCCGGTGTCCACGGTGCGAACCGGGACCAAGACACGTTGGAATCCTCGAGGCTCGAAACGAATTCGATCCCGTGAGGGTTGGCCAACAGGGTTGCGGAAGAATCATTTTGAGCCCACAAAGTCACAAAGATCACCTGCAAACTCACTTTGAGTCCACAAAACACTCAGATTGCTTGGTATTAGCATCAGCTCGTGCTCAGAACTTGGTCCTTTCCACCTTTCGACCTTTCTCCCGGCACAACTCTCCCCGTGGGAACATCACTTGAACGAGCAAAACAGCAAAAAACAACAGCATCCTCCTTCTTCCAACACGGAAAGCCACCTGCTACAAGTAACAAGAAGCTACTAGTAACTTGAGAGGAGGGAGACCTGAAAGGTAGGACAGCGGGAAGAGAAGAGAACGCGAGAGGCAGGAACAAAAATGCAATGTTCGACATGGTGATTTATCCCCTCGGAGGCGACCTTTCGTAAATATATGTTCATATGCACTCTAAATGTTCAAACATATGCTCTCGAAATGTTCAAAAAGATTCTTAGGAAAACATAGGAAAACAAACTTGCCCCATGGCTCAGATCATCGGTGAGCATTGAATCGGAACATCATAGGATTTGAACTATCCTGAAACCATAAGAGGCTCACGAAAGCGCTCCCCAGGAGAGAAATGACGTGCTTCACAAAACAAACTCTAGGTATGTATCCCCTCGGGGAACACCTTTCGTGATTAGAATTTCATATTCACTCTTTCTGAATGTTCAAGAGGGTTTCAACTATCCTGAAATCATGAGAGGCTCACGAAGACGTTCTCCAGGAGAGAATTGATTTTTTTTGGGGGGGTCTGTATTGAAAAATCAATTCCAAGGGGGCGGGGGGGGGGTCTGGATTGAAAAATCAATTCGAGGGGGGGTGGGGGCGTCTGAATTGAGCGATCAATTATTAGACCCGGACGTCCCAACACTTGCTTCGCAAGACAAACTGAAGGTATCCCCTAAAGGGCTACCTTTCGTGACAAGGACATCGCTACTAGTAACAAGGGCATTACTATTAGTAACAAGAAGCTACTAGGAGCAAGGGCTACTCTAGCCGCCAGCCACCTTCCCTGTACCTCTTTGGCTCGCCATGGCTGATTATTATCTTCTGCACTCCCATCTCCCAAGGCTCCATGGGTTTGCACTGGGAGAAGAACTTGCTCTTCTGCGCAGCGGAAAAGCCGGCTCCAGTGGTCGCGAAGTGAGGTGGGAACACACCGGTGGTGGGTCAGGAAAAATCCGCAGGCTTCCAGGGAGCTACCTGGTTGTTACTCTGGTTGTTATAATTCTTGTTTCATGGTTTGTTGTTGAACGTATCCCCCCCCAAAAAATGGTTTCTCAGTTTTTCACTCTCACTTGGCTGGACTTGATGTCTTGAGTCGAGGGGCTTTTCGAGCTCGAATTCTTGAAATATGATGAAATATGTCCACACCGACACCTTAATTGCCATGACTCAGTGGCCACAATGACTTGGCTGCCCCTCCATTACTACTGTTGACTCTGCTGATTGGACTTGAGGGGGGAATGGTGGGCCCTGGTCACCACTTATTCCACAACAAATTGAATCAAGAAATCCTGAAGTTCAAAGCTGTGGCAAAACCAACACCGTTAAACTCAGCCCAGTCGATCCAGTTCATCTGGGTGCGGGGATATCAAAGCCCCTTCCCCCGAAAAACATTCAGACTCAGTCACCAGTACCATCTCAACACATCTGACCGCTCAACCGGTGCTCGACGTCTCGTCGACGTCGTCGAGACAATCGCATGGGCCTCGGAGCAAATGAATCCAGCATGGCAACAGGTGGACCCCGTCCAATTGGTCTTGGTGTCCTCATCAAAGCCACCACACTGCCTCATCGGAAAGCGTTTCTTTGGAGAGCGGTGTTTGCAAATCGGTGAGAAGCAGGTGGCATAGCAGCAGGGTGACCCATGGTAACCAGTGGCAACCTGTGGAATTGACTGGGTACACTGGATTCTCAAAAAGGTCTTGAGAACTTTAAATTATGCGCTGCATGATTCATTGACCCCTACTTGACGTTAATGCATTTCTAACCTGTCTTGGAGGACTATTCTATCTCTTTGGGCATGGCTTTGAAATAGAGCACACTTCACTTCAACACACTCGGACACATCAACCAAGTTCAGCAACCCTCATGGATTGAGACACACCCATGTATAGGGTAATTAGACCCCACACCCTTCCACTAGCCCAGGTGCCCATAGCCAATTTGGCAGCCCTGTGGGTCCGCATTGGTCGTGGTCGTGGTGGTGCTGGGTTCGGACGCGGCGTCGGCCAACTCCTGCGTTGCTGACGTGAAGAGTAGCTGTTCAATGTATGGCCAATCTAGGGCGAGAGGTGAATCCATGGGTGAACCCATAGTTCTGCTAGAGGCACAGTAACACAATGTAACACATATCATATAAATTATCATCAACTATCACATATGACATTATACAACATATATGATATATTCAGAAGGGGAGGGTGACCACCAGTTTGCCAAATGCCACCCAATTCTAGACAGAAACTTGCCGGGGGCCAGTTAAATTGAAATCGTAGGACTTTGCCATGATGCGGGTCAACTTTTAGTGTACCTGCATGAGAATGAACGTGTCAAGTCTTTCGGTCTTTTCCGGGGCCCATGTTGCAGCCGACCAGCACGCGCAAATGTTTTGGCCCTTCAATGATAGTCTTTGTCAGGATCTCTCTGGATGCGGATGCGGAGACATCGAGAGGTGAGTCCAGAGTCCTCTGTTTGTGACATGTCTGAGTCCTCAACGTCCCAACATGCAAAAGGTGTCTTTGTTGCTTGACGCAAAACAAAGGCCCCTTTGCTGTGTCGCACGGACTAATGTCTTTCGATCAAAGCTCTTTCTTTTTGGGAAGGCTTCCCTGCGCGGGTTGTCCAGCAAAACTATCGAAATGACCACCAGTCCTCGGCCTTGTCTTTGGTGACGCACTGCGAGTAGTACTCGTTCACCTCAGGGGTCAAAAGCACAGCCTCTGGATTGGGTGGAATTGACTCCGACAATTTCTAGAAGACATTCCCAAACGAAGGGATTTCCATCAACCTTCGTGGCAAGTCTGAAGGTGGAAGATTATTTAGCAACCCAGTTCTAAGGATCTTTCTAGACAAAAGCTGTGCCGAGCCAACGCTGCCCTTCGCAACAGCCGTACGTAGGGACGGGTCTTGCGGGTCATGAAGTTGGGGGCAAAAGACCTCTTGCAGCGTCTTGCGGTTGGCATGTATAGAAAACCATGCGAATCGAACGTGCATGAATGTGCTATCACAGCATTCGGTCGCTTTCAGGCCCCTAGAAGCCCTGCATGCTCCTGCCGTGCCCCTGCCGCCCCTGCCCCTGCCGGGCCACCTGGTAGCAAAGGTGCCCATGCCAGCAGCAGGTGGGCCCATAGTACCACTGACCACCGCACTGCGCGTCCGGCTTGGAGCAGTTGGCATCCTGTGAGTTGTCCGAGAAAGTCAAGGCCCGGGGCTTCCGGGTTGAGTGGACGGGGTTCGGTCCGGTTTAGTGGTGAAATCCACGGGTGCCCTTAAGACACAGCCATCTCTTGTGCCTTAGGATGGCTTGGTATATCTATTGGTTCGAGATACCTTTCCTCCCCAAATGCTCACGGTTTCCTGTGAACACCACTCTCACCTCGTCTTGCTCTCAATGGGAACTGCACAAGTTCCGGTCTTCTGTGCCCAAGAATCAGCCAGTGCCATCCCAAACCCCAACAAGCAGCCTACTGAAAAAGTTTCCCGCCCCAACCAGTGCTTCTCCAGAATGCAACCAACACTTGAAATGCTTGATCTTTGGGCCCAATTCCCCAAAGAAATCACCCATTTTTTGGACAGATCGCTTCACCAAATCCCCTCCCGTCGTCTGAACCGGCGCCGCGGCCCAACCTCCGGCAGTGGCTCCCAGGCAGGAATTCCAGAGTCGCTGGCCTGTGAAAGAAAGGGAGATGACCCGGGCTGGGCACTGCGGGAGGATTATATAATCGGAAGCCTGATTCCAACAGCGAGTGGTAGTGGCACAGCCCATATGGCTGTGGGTCAGAGCCTACCTGGGAGGTCAAGCTACATGGTGGACCAGGGCTCCAGGTTTTGACCCACTTCCATATGAGAGTCCGATTTCTCCAAGTCTCTTCAACCCTTGCGTCGGAGTGCGAAAGGAAACTCCTCGTGCCGGCCGAGTGGGACTTGGATGTCTGCCGGTGTCTCAAATGATTGTGTAGGTGGATCCCCTCCAACAGTCACGGTTTACAGAGGTCAAGTGCAAAACAAACTGAATAGCTTAAATGTTTGAGGGCGGCATTCACATGGCGCCAGCGGTCGTTCAACTCACGGAACCCCGGAACGAGCACGACGCCTCATCTGGATTGGGACCATCCTCCTCCTCCTCATCCTCGTGATCATCGAGTCCGGCAGGCTTCCCGCCATCCTCCTCGTCCTCCTCGTCCTCGTCGTCGTCCTCCTCCTCTTCGTCGTCGGGGTCCTGCTGAGCTGGCGCTTGGAGGAACCGCTGAGGTGCCGCGTCAAGGGCTTGGACTTGGCCAGGAAATGGCAGCGGCATCACGTTCTGCCCAGGGCTTCCGAGCAAAGCACAAAAAACAAGTAGTAGTAAGCAAGTGAGGAAGTAAGGAAGTAAGGAAGCAAGCATGCAAGCAAACGAAAATTCTTTCAAAAAAATTAGTATTCAGGGGGTTCAATACGAGCTGTGGTCTGCCTGCTAAACATGGGAGCTGAATTTCCATCGAGCTCCAAACTGAGCTTGCTCGCTACATGGATATCGGTATAGGATATATTTAGTTTCTTTCGTGGTAAGCATATTCCCCAACCAAGGGGTTTTGGTCTGGGAAGAGTTCTTTGGGGATATCTCCCTACTCTAATACACTGAATTACCCTCCATGGTCGAGGATGCCAACACCCCTCCAAAGCCACTGGTGTTGGTCTTACGGATCCATTGCATCCCTTTGGGTCGATCGTTCGTGGCTCATCGAAGGGTTGCCCCTCTCCTCGATGATGTCATCAATGTCTGGCACCACAGGTACGGCGGCGGCCGCTCCTGCAAGTCGTTATGGGCCATGGCAGCTCACATGTCTTGGGATTCACCGTGAAGGATCATTTTCTATCTGCACCATGGGCATATCTGGGCTCACTGCAACAAGAATGACGCACAAGAAACTCTTCCAAGCAAATACCAGTGGACTGAGAAAAGAAGCACTCCAACCATCAAGTGCAACCTCTCTCATCATTGGCCATCCACCCAAACCAGTCATCGTGCCTCGGAGCTGTAGCGCGTTCAAAGTGCAACTCTCGTCCAAGCACTCGTCATCCAGCTGGAGCGAGGCCTCCTGGGAGCACAACGATAGTTCATCCATCCCGCTGGAGATGTGGCGCCTCTCTGTCGAGCAAACATGACGCCGATCGCCTTCACGTGCTAAAACGCAGGCTGTTCTGACTGACCTCAAGTAAGCCTCTTCGTCCTCTCCCACTTCCTAGAGCCCGAACCTCTGCAAAGGAGTAGGGCATGATGGCCAAAAGGAGAAAGCGCCATAAGGACCTCAACCACGTGGTGACCGGTGTCATCCGGTGTCCCAGAGAGGGGGACCTCTCTTTGGAGGGGAATCGATGGGTTAAACTATCTGCGATGCCCACCAGCCTACTGAGCAGCTTCGAAAACCCCTATTACTTTTTTGTATAATCCAGGTTTGCTTTCGCAAAGCTTTCGCGGCCTGCATTCTGGCTTTCGCGGAAGGTGTGGTGTGATGTGGGGCTTTCGCGCCGGCTTTCTCGGCGATTCGTTTTCGATTGGGAAATTCGATTGGGATATTGTACAATAAAGTGATTGATCTACATAAGTTATCCGATATAAGTGTCCTTAGGGTGGTCAAAACTGAAAGCTTTCGCGACGCTGTTCTTCTGGGGTTCTTTCGCGGGGCTTTCGCGAACCTTTCGCGACCTGCGTTTTGGCTTTCGCGAAAGAATGTGAGATTACAGTTTGCACACTTTTCATCGTAGAGGTTTTTGAAACTGCTCTACTGAGCATACACGACTTTAGGCCCAAAAAAGTTGACACATCAAATCCGAAAAAGGATGGTCCACCATCAAAAACAATCATCGAGTCCCACCGAACCTGGCGATGTTCGTGTACGCTGCTTACAGAGTACTTTCAGAGAAAGAGATGGATCGACAGAAATCCGAGGTCACATGAATCAACCACACGACAGGGGTCGATGTCAGCAGCCCTTCCAGGCAGTTCTCAAAACCTTCCACATCGGTGGCAAAGTCGGTGTCCAAAATGGCCTTTTGCAGCTTTTTGGCTTTAGGATGCTCAGCAATCCATTCCCCTCAGATTCATAGAGATTATGATGAGCTGGTACGGGCAAACAAGGATCCACAGCTCAGTGGACAAAGGGGCCAAGACCCGCACATCAACTCCTTTGTTCTGTGTGAATTTGTGCTATCGACCACGACCAAAAGGTCATGCGCAGAAAATACCAACAATAACCTGTCATTGATTCCGAGCGGCGCCATGAGTAATCGCTCTTTTTCTTTGGGCAAAAGGAATGAAGGCAAGCCTGAAGCTTTTGGCTGCGGTTCATTCATAACCTGAGCACCATGGGCACAAGCAATTGGGCTGCTAGAACTGGTCATCATGACGAGTTCAGAAACACAGTTACAGTCACTAAGACCATAGTGTGACATGTGATTCTCACTCAACCTACCTTGCCTTATGCAGGTCCTGCAAACAATTACATAAGCCCCCAACATCTGGATATTTTTGAGTGCGTAACTTTTACCGGGCCCAACCAGGCAGTTTGAAGATGATCGCACATCGAAAGGCCCTACCTGTTTGCAACACATTATGTTCTAATTTTTTGGTACTAAACCTAATAGCTTCTTGCTACTAGTAACTAGTAGCTTCTTGTTCCTAGTAGAAAGGCCAGGAGCCCCTAGTAGCGTCCTTGCTCCTAGTAGCGATGCCAGGAGCCCCTAGTAGCTTCTTGTTCCCCTGTCACATCGGACCCGAGTTTTCTGCAGGTTTTTCTCCACCATGACATGTGGCTTCAGCGTCTCAGCTGGTCGTGGCGCGGAGTCCGGGAACTGTCTTCGACAAGCTCGGAAAAACCAGCTGCTCGGTGAGGATTAGCTTCAGGGAAGAAACCCTGAGCCTACGAAACCATTCTTGACATCAACGAGATCTGCTTTGAGGGGCTTTAAGGCGATTCTTGGAAGGACCTGTTGTTCTTGGATTGCCATGAAAGTGGAAGTATGTTCACCTGTTGGTTCTTGTGAAAGGCACAAGGGGATGTCTGTGATAAACGTCCTGTCCTTTCATGCCACATCCATCGATCGCTCATCGCTTTACCTGCGCCCACGTGTCACCCCCAACACACCACCGTCAGACTGGATGGGTCTGGTGCGTGGGGAGCTACCACCTCCTTGGTGAGTCACTGAGGGTTGTGCAGTCGAAGCGCTTAGACCCTCCGGATGTGTGTCGAGTCGTCGCTTTGCTGCTCCGAAGGGGTGGCATTCGCCATGCCATGGGGACATGATTGGGTGTGGTGTGGTGGCAAAGGGAACAAATAGACCTTCAGCCAACCCAAATCCGGTCCAGAATTTTGTAATAGCGACAGGCGACAGGCCCTGGCTTGGCATTCTATGAGTCCACAGTGAGCTTCTCTCCTTCCCATCTGTGCCCCACCGGGTGATGTGTCTGGCAGTCAGTGACATGACATGCCATTCATCTATACGTGGAACATGGTCGCTTTGTAGAGAAAACGGGACTTGAACAGGTCGCTTTTCCACGTCGATCTTCATGACCATGATTCGTTTTGGCATTGGTTCTCTGCTTATCCACACCCTTGGTTCGTTCAGCCACAAGATCCTGTGGTTCCTTCAAAGAACTAGCACACAACACCTTTGGACCATCTTAGCCACCCAGGCCACCAGGCCGAGAAGATTTAAAGGACTTGGTCCTTGCACCGCCCTTGCTGCCATCACCCATGCAGCACCAATCGCACTAAGAGCAAGAAGCTACTAGGGGCTCCTGGCCTTACTACTAGGAGCAAGGAGCTTCTAGGAGCCCCTAGTAGCTTCTTGCTCCTAGTAGTAAGGCCAGGAGCCCCTACATGAAGGCCATGGCGGTCTTCTGCTCTCGCCTGCACCACTGAGAGATCTCGACAGATCGTCGACATGAACTGCTTCAGGTTCCATTAGAAGAAGGCAGTGTGGCTCAGATGCAACATCGCCTAAGCCCCTAGCGGCCTAGCGGCCTTCGCATGGACCAACATCTTGAACCCAAACACCACACTCCAGTTTAAGATCTTCCATGGAGCCTGGGGAAAGTCGTGCTTGATGAGCCTGCGCCACTGAAAACCAGTTCCTTTCCATACTTCCTAAGCCCAAACTTGGGCGTCTTCTGCACACTGAGGGAGCTCCAGTGATCAGTACACTACTCACACTGAATATGAATCAGCAGAAGATGATTTGATCACCTTTAGGCTCCATAGAACCCAATGAATCTCAAAGCTTGCAGTCACCAACTCCACTTCTAAGAGAACCCCAACAAAACATATCCAATGGCCTTGGAGGAGCAACTCCCTTCTGAGCACCACTTGGCCTCTAGGGCTCGATTTCACGTCGGATGCCCCGCCTGCGGTCCACATGGACCACCTCGGCTCGGAACGGCCATTTGTTGTTCGCAAACCAGTCTAAAGGATTGTGGACATTTCACTGGTGCCGATTTGTTTAATCATGTTTGATCCTATTTATTGTATCTTTCTCAAATATCGGATCATGTTTCCTCGTTTCATCATGAATCTGTTTTCAGCTCTGGTGGATCAGCTCTTGCGGTCTTCCGCACAGGGAACCTAAACAGCACAGAAATTGATACAACTGGCGAAACATGTTTTAAGCGGATGGTCTCTGGAACAAGACAAAACTCTAACGACCCGCGACTCGATCGTTTTCTTGGGGCATCAACTCTCTGGGATTCTCAACAGACCCCCCTCCCAACCTGGGTGGCGGGTGTCTTTTTGTTCGCGCTCAGTCGCCCGCCAATCGCTGCGGGTTCTTGCCAATCTCCGCCAGGAAGTGCTGGAGCCTCGGGACTCCGTTCAGGACCGACCGAGGACGGCGTCGTCTGGGTGGACGTGCTGGTCGGCTCCCCCACGAGGTCTCGCCACCGGTGGGGTGGGGTGGTTCTACACATTGAGTCTCTGTAGCGAATCTCGTGACATCTCATGACATCTGGTGAGTCTATGCACCCAACCCCCCCCACGAGGAAAAAGGGATCGACAGGAAACCGCCTGCGCGTCTGCAGCTCGTCCGCCGGGTACACCACCCGGGGCACCTGGAAATTCATCGATGCGTGTGAACAACAGCGAATCGATGTGCGCCGAGCCGCTTAGTGTGAAGCTGTTGGAAACCGAAAGAAAACAAACAAACTGGATTGGAATGGAATGGAAACACCACCGGGGAAACCCTGGTACTTGGACCAACTGCACTTAGACCAACTGGAATGGTTTCGATCTACCGAGCTCGCCGGATCAGATGTCTGAGTTCCATGCGGTCCTACAAACGCAGGTCAGCAGCTCCATATCCATGCTGGATATCATGGAGAATCATAGAGACCATCGTGATACCTAGAGGTCACCAGCACGTTCAAATGTGTCAAATGTCCAGCATGATGTCCACGGGAAAACGAAACACCATGAAACACCCGCCCTTCACGGGAAACGAAACACCATTGGGAAGACGCTTGGACCCCGCCGGTGATCACCGGAGGTGGCACCTCCACCTTTGCGGCAATGTGCCCCGGCGTGTCCAGGCCTCAGTGGAGGTGGCTGATCCAGGTCCTCAACAGGTGACCACACTCCCCAAGCACCTCAAGCACTGGTGGGAGACCTGTTGGAGGATGCTGGTGTTGAAGATATTCAACTTGGCAGCTGCAAACTACTTGGGCAAGCTGGGCAACAACATGAGGGAGCATCTGCAGAACAAGTTGGGCAACTATCAAACTACCTCAGATCAATCATCTAGGCCTAGGTCAAATGCAAACCTTTGTTAAATCATAGTGTCATAGCAGTACTGGGAGCAAAGATCAGTTTTGAAGGGAAGTGCATCCTGTTCCCAAGCTGAGATGAACACTGTGGCACCTGAGGTTTTTCTGGGTCACCTTTTCGATCGGACACGGACACTGGCATCGGTCACCGTACGTTGGGACGAACACCTCCGAACGGTTGCGCCGGGACGATTGAGAACTTCTAAGTTTGGAATTTCATCTCTGCATCTGGTGGGGTTCTAGGCGAAGGCATAAGACAAAATGTAATCGTTTGGTTTCACAGGAAAATGATGGATCTGATTTGGTTGAAAACAAGCTTCACTTTGGGGATGTTGGGATGGCCAAGTGAGCCAAGCTGATCGGCTACTTCTAAGAATATTGCTCTAAAAAAATCATTTATATAGCTAGAAAACCCAAAACAAGGATGATGGCCTTCAATCTCAGCAGTTGGATTGCATCCACTGGGTCTTCCTGCCACTCCTCGTTGTGGTTGGGTGAGAAGCCTGGCATGACAGGGAACAGCTTTGGCATGGTGGCTTGGTGTCTTGTGAACACGCTCCTAATCTGGAGATGCAAATCCCGGATCCCTTCCACATACAAGGCAGCACCAGAAACAGATTCCGAAACCAAATTGATCAAGGAGTCACCCATGAGTCACCAATGTTCCAGCAAAAACCTCTTAGCTGGACCAAGTAGCACCATCTGTAGCAACACACCGACTTCGGGCGACTTTGCCGATGTGTGCAGGAACCGACCTCCCCAGACCCGACAGTTGAGTCGGGCCCACGGCGTGGTGCTCGGTCAGAAGCAAAATGGCGACACTTGGCGGATCCAATCCGACATCAATCCACCAGCAGTCACAAGACGGGGTGCTATCCATGGAGGATAGAGGTAAACACCACCCCTTTGTGACTGCTGGCAGTCAAATCTCCTGAAGATGTCATCTTTCTTTCATTTGCAGCAAGTGTTGAAGTGATGTGCCAGACCTAAGACCAGCCTTGATGTGTTTGTCCGAAGACTTACTGGGATATGTCACCCACAAACCCTACAACCCCACATGGTGGGGACTCCCAGGCAAACACCCAAGCAGCTGACAGCACCAGCACATCTTCCAGATCGAGCAAACCGGGTCGTTTCCGGAACAGCCCTGAAGCAGCCGGCGCTATCGGCCGTCCTCTTGGCCCCAGGCCGTCCTCTTGGCCCTGATACCACTCAAGGCCTGGGAGGTCTCAGCAAAGCCTTGTTCTTCTCGAATTCGTCACAAAAACCCTGTGAAGGATCCTCCTGCAGCTCATTGCAGCTTTTGTTTAAGGTATAGCGAGCGGTCAAAAACAATCATAACAAATCGGTAGATGAAAAGGATGAAAACGATGCGACGGCTTCGCATCACTGAGTAACATGTATAGCTTGAAGAACAACTCCTCGCTGGCACGAGCACGAGCCATTTCATATATAACGTCAAAGCAAAAGGTCTGCAGCTCAATAAATGCTCCCAACACATCAGCACCAACCTTAATACCGATTCATGACCGCTGCCTGCAACAGCCCGCTCAAACACAGCGCCTCCAGGCACACAGCTGCTTGGTCCAAACGAAGCGCCCAAACCAGCGAAAGGGAAAAGGGCGAAGCTTCGTCCAACTCCCACCAGCCAAAAGGGTCGCAAACGGCGGTTGTATGGGCCTGATCCGTGTCTTTGTATAAGAACCACTGCCTGATCTGTTCATCAGGTGCTTTTTGGTTGTTTCTTCTTTGCCCTCCTCCTCCTCCTCCTCCCTCTGGCGAGCCTTGGATCAAGAGGAAGCACGAAGACATGAATTCCAGGAAACAACAAACGTTGACAAGCCATGGCAGAGGAGGACGACCTGCCTGGCAGATCGTTTCTTCACCTCCTTCGGTAGTCAATGTTCGCTCCAGAACCGCCACCGGGTGGGAAAACCACCGACAGTCAGGAAGATCATCGCTTTATAAAAATGCGCGGCGGTGGCAGATCGTAGACTCTTGATTCATATGACTCACCCATTTAATGATTGTAAACCTCTTCAGAAGAGGGGTTGTACTAATCAAGGGTCTCTACATCATGAATCATAAGTCCCAACTACAACGACCCACATGGCGCAGGAGAAGCCCTAGCAGCTCGAGATCTCATCCATGCGACCCTGCCATGGCCTTCCTAGGAACTTTGCCCCGTGAAAGCTCCTGCAGCTTCCCAACAATGAAGACCGGATGAGACATGCGGAGCGACCCGGCCCTAGCCAACTTCTGATCGAGCCGCAGAGCGCTTGCCATTTCGCGATCTCAAATGAAACCCAAAGTTGCAATCAATGTCTGGTGCTCCTTTTGAAACGGGACCTTCTCACTCTCCAGAGTTTTAACGTGTGTGGATGAACGAAGCCGACTGCACCAGGACGCCTGGGGGGTGGCAGTGGAGGCTGTCCGGTCTGACGCTTGAACCGGCGCAGGCCTCGGCTGGAAGCAGGGATGAGTCGACCGAACCATGGCGAGTGAACATACTAGTAGTAACAAGTGCCACGCTAGTAGTAACAAGTGCCTTACTAGTAGTAACAAGAAGCTATTAATTTAAATTTAGTTTAATTTTATTTTAATTCTAGCAGCTTCTTGTTACTACTAGTAAGGCACCTGTTACTACTAGCGTGGCACTTGTTACTACTAGCTTCTTGTTACTAATGACATGGGTATATCATGGTATATACGATTACAAATAACAGTCGTGTTGAACACAACGCACACCTGTATGTGGTATATCCCAGTAGTATGAGGGCCCAGTGGATGATTATGCTTAGGTCTTCTGGGCCAACATCTCAAAAATAGTGATGTTCTCTTTGACCGACGGCTCTACGGGTTTACTGGGCCACACCCTAAGAATGACATAGAAATTGATGTCATGGTGGGACCTGTTGGGACTCTTTCAAGAGCAACTAGTAGCAAAAAGGGTAACAAGGCACCTTACTACTAGTAACAAGTGCATCGCTACTAGCGCTACCAGTAACAAGAAGGCAATATAGCCCATACTAAATGTTCGTCCGCGTGCGTTAGCATTGCTGTGTCCTTTAGCATTGCGTAGAACACGCAACTCCGACGATACACCAGTCGTGTGTATCGGTGTATCGGTGCGAACGTGTTTATAGGCCAGGACATGCAGGGCCTAGGCCCTACGGCAAATGAAGCTTGTCGTATTCTTGTTGTGTACATGGGTTGTACCAGGGCTGTCTGAGTAGCTTTTTAGATTATTTTTTCCAAAATAGTTATGGAAGACTACACTAAGACTAATTCACTCCAAATTGCGTTCTTGGATTTCTCGACCGTGGGACTTGACGTTCGCCCAACCCAAGACCTAGCCGTGACCGCGGCTCAACCTCCAAGGACTGCACTCGCTCTTCGGCTTGGGCAAGAAGGGGCTGGCCTCGCTCGGCCGGAGGCTTTGACTCCGGTCGAATTGAACAAGGAAAGACTTTAATGGGACTGGCATATTTGCCTACATTCGGGCGGTTGAAAAGGGGTTGAACAGGGTCAATGTAAAGTATCTATTCCATACATTCAGTGTCTGGAAATCAAGATCAACTGGCACCAACAATGGGGTCAGCAACCACAGCAACCGACACCAATCCCTAGCAGAAACATTGTAGCTTCTAAACAATCAAGGACATCTGAAAGAAGGAAACACAAATGACGGATGTGGGTCGTGGGTTTATGAGATAACCATTGAAACATTTACGAGTTCAGCTGAGTATTGCGATTTTGCAAACCAAACCTGCCACAGCTGTGTCCTTGCTGTCCTGGCAGTCGATCCCCACCTCCTCGTCAGAGTCAGCATCAGAGTCCACACGGGACAAATGTGAGCTGGAACGCAAACAAAGGCAGCAACCTCCTGCGATGCACCGCGCAGGCGACCAATTTTTAATGCATCCTTTTGTGTTTCTATGTGTTTTGAATTGTCTTTATCCTTCATTATCCTTCTGCCTTCTTCACACTAAAACGGAAAATACATCAAGATACCTGATTCCAACTGGAATGGCATATTGTATCATATTGGCTATTGTTTCCGACATGTGTCAATGCCAACTGGGTGCACAGCGGTTTGAAAGCAATCTGCAGTCGATCGTATTTCCATGGGCAATGGGTTCACACATGTCGTGAGTGAAGGTCAAAACAGATCGTTTGCCAAACAGACAGCGAAGATGAGGGGCGATCCCTGGACGGTTTGCCCTTGAACCTACGTGTTTGCTCCGAACTCCCCACTTAGGAACCTAATTTGAGTGACATCTCGGATTGGCTGGAAATCCGTTGGAGGCGCATTTTCTACACATCCAGGTGGAAGATCCTGCTTTTTGAGGATGTCAATATCAACCTCAAGATTGGTCTCTTCCACAGGTGTTGTATTGGAACCCACGCCACGCGATCTTTGCGATCGGCGGGCGTTCGGCCGTCACCCGGCCTCGCGGCTTCGGCTTCGGCGTCTTCGCTGTGGTCTGTGGATCGTCATGGAACGGTCCGAAACACGGCTCCGGCGGAGAACGGCGAAAAGGCTCCCTCCGGTTTCTGGCCCTTTCGTTTCGGTATGTTTCGGTCTCATTCTTACCCAAAGGCTCATGGACCCTCAAAAGGGTCTAATGAGAGCTTGGGTAATACAAGTAGTTTTTGGTGATCAACTTGGCCATATGTTATAAGGCATCGTGTTCGGCCTTTAACCCAGGTCCATGGACGACTTGGTGATTTTACGGTAAGATTTCTCGATCTAGGATTCGAAACGGATCAGTGTGTCCGCTGCTATAGCGGGTTATCTTTCGGGGTCTATGCGGATTGTTGGGGGCTTTCGTTTTGAGATTGCCTTTCAGCCCATTGACCTTTTTTCTGCCGCGGCAGCAACAAGCGACAAGTGCTCTGTGCATTAATTATTGACTCGTGCAACCTCCATGATTTTGCCTTGTCTTAAAGCTTCCTGCTGCTGCTGCTGCTGCGACGATGAACGCGCGCGCGAAGCGGGGCTGGCGTGTTCCTGATCGGGACCCCGTTGACATCACATGTTACAATCTTTTTTTCTTGGCATGCGCCTCCCCCCTCACCCTTTGGATTCTGGCATCCGTGGGGCCATGTTGTGGTGCGGTCTCAGGTGCGCCCCCCACGACGGGGAAGCCTCATGGAGCCCCCGCGCCGGCCCGGCGAACTTTTTTTTGTTTGAGGAAGCACCCCCACGCTTATTTGACGCCACATATTGGTTGAAACGGAGTGATTTTTGATAAGCCAGGGATTGCGCAGTGCTCAACCATACGGCTTTGCATACGGGTGCGCATCTCTCATCTTCCTTCGCGTCATCTGGCTGGGCGTGCCACAAAAGAGCAGCCCAAAAGTTGACAGTCACAAGTTGACAAGGTCGAGAATCTAGATTCCTTGAACTGCACAGCCCCCAGCTTGCGCTTTGCATACCGCAAAGTCAAAAACGGTAGACAAAATGGTGCGCATCAAATCTGTCGCTGCAACGTTGGTCTGCGATGCGGGAGAAGTTGGGCTTCCAGGGTCCTGCTCAACTTCTGCCTGGACAATGAGCTAGACATCCTAAACCTGCCTTGGCACAGGCGTCACGCTTCTAGAGAACCCTACGAGAGAGCCACGCGGACACAGACATGTTGAAAAGTACAAGAGTTCAAGTGCATCCTCAGCGCGGCGCGCTCAAGATCATATGATGACCTGTGGATGGGTTCACCCTGCAAAGCAAAAAGCCAGCACCCCCTCTATGATTAGTAAACGTTTCAGCTTAAATGTTGATACGCCTCCAACCATACACCGCACTTCCCCACGCGGGCCAGAGCCCAAACAGCTCTGCACCAGGTCCAATCAAAACCTCGCCCTTTCCGGGATTTCAACCATATATGGCGATTCCAGGCGAATCCAAACTAAAATTCCAATCCACCGTCAATCCGGATTTTACCAACGAAACATATCTCGAGGATGTAGCAAAAACCTCCCATGCGTGTAAGCAACCGCAAACACAGGCGCAACATGAAGCGGTATCGATCACCAAGGAAGTTCACTGCGCTCTGGAGCCTGAGAATCTCCAGCTGCCACCAACGACGGGTCGCTGAGAACCATGCCCTGTCCGGCTTCAGCTCTGGGAGGAATTAGGCTTCGCATGTAGATATCGATATTCTAAAACGATTTCGCCAAGCCCTTTCTCCAATTTTCAACCGTTACCATGCCCCCATCAATGGCGACAAAGACCCCGTCAGCGCGACGATGCGTCAGGTGGCAGCCGTCAACTTGACAGGCGTTCCTTCAGCCAGCTATCCCTACCAATTAACAATGATGCGATCATCCGACATATGGATAAGCCCGATGTCTCTGCGAAAAGTGCAAGCTCAAAGCAGGCATCGGGCACCGCAGCCACCAGCGAACAGCCGTTGTCAGAACTGGTGTTTTTTCTGCTGGTGGCTCCGCCCCGGACTTGTGAAAGATGGCACCTAACATGAGGTCGTATAATCAGAAGCCCTGCTGGACTGCCGTATGAGGGCCTTTTCCGGCTGATTAGAGACACATCTGACGCAGCAGTGTCCAACGAAAGTAAGTGGCGGTGATGAGCTATCTGCTCAAGCGCGTGATTAAAGCCATGCGCCGACATCGGCATTCCAGACGTCCACGGCGTCAGATGCCATCGCCTATTATACAGCGTTTGTGGGCGTCGTGTGTGAACATTCCATCTCGCTAAGATGGCAGGTAACCATCCTGCAGCAGCCGTGCGAATGCCTTAATAGTTGGCCTGTCACGCATGTCCGCAGAAACTGGATACTTCTTATTGAAAACGGGCACACTAGGCGACTTGTTTCGGTGAAGCGATGAAGTTGGCATCAATGTCACAGCCCAAACTGACAGGGCAGAAGCAATGAGCTCAGCGCTCGTATCATCAATGCTACCAGTCAAACGGGGCAGAAATTTGGCCACGCTGGCTGCAACACTGGGCGTGTTAGCATTGACCTGCAGAGCATCATGGGCATGCGCGACATTGTACTTGTCCCGGTACATCGAAGCGCGCCGAGTGATGTAACTTTCAGTAGCTATGCCATGCTGCTTCACAGGCTTATCCCCCGTTTCCGTGTCCAATCTGTGCTTATATCTGTCCTTCCACCTACCCTTGGTCCAAATGTTGGCTGCACTTTGGCAGCGGTCGAACTCGCTCAAACAGCACGATGCAGAGGGTACAATTCAAGTGCTTCCAAGTTGCCCGTAGATGGTCATGCTGAAAAGGGCGGGTACGAAGAACGTTGGGTGGCACAGGCTTGTGAGACAAAGCTGCATCGCAGCGTGCATACAACAATTCAGATTAATCAAAGCCTCAGCGTTTTCACCAATTTCTGACCCACCAAAGTCTGACGGACTTGCATTTGTATTCTGTTATCTTTCACTTCATCCAATGGCACGACGATTGTTCCACTTCCTTTTAAGCGCCCGAGCTCGGCATTGCCGAGATCTCAATCGGTCAGCAGATTCAACCATAAAACCCACCACCGTAAAAACAACAAGAACAAGCAAACAAACAACATTAATAAACAAAACAAACACAACACCGCAAAGCAACAACACAACACAAAACAACACAACAACACAAAAAGACAAGACAAACCAAACAAACAAACGCACAAACAAGCAAAACAAAGCAACGCACAAAAAACAAATCAACAAACAAAGATAGAACAAAGCAAAAGAACGCAACACACAACAAACAAACAAAACCGACCAAACAAAACAAAAGAACACAGCACATTACAAAACAAAAAACAATACAAAACACAACACACCAACAAACAAGCACACATCAACCAACAACCAACAACCACCACCACCATAACAACAGCAACAACAAAAACAACCGGCAACCAGGTACCCCTCCGAATCAACCATGTCAACCAACTTTTCGAACCTAAAGGTCAAGGAAAAATAGCAGGAAAGAAAAGAGATAGCGAAGGTGAAAAGAAAGAGGCAAGCAAGCAAAAAGAATAAGGAACAAGGAAAAGGGAAAGAGGAAAAGAAATAAACAAGCAACAAAGATCTATTCCTACTACTCCTACACCCACGCTACACTCATCACTCACCAAAAAACCGCTCGGCTGGAGCCTGCGGAGCCTGCGGAGCCTGCGGAGCCGGCTCGGGCTCCGGAGGAGCCGGGGGAGACGGCTCGTTCACTTGGCTCTTCAGCCTCAGTTTCGCCCGACGTTTTTGTGTGGAATATGGTGGAATGCGAGCTTTTGCGTTCTTGGTGTTCCGTGGGGGACATTTCTTTATGGCCCTTTCTCACTCAAACGGTGCAGAATTTCGATCCAACTCCACTAGGATTTTGTTTGGATTTCTGCTTTTGGAACCAATCAACCTGTGAATCCTGTCCATGAATCGGTCCCCAGCTCCCAGACAGTGCGGATTGAAGACAGTGTGTACAAGATGAGTAACAGGGCGTTGACACAAGTTCAATGCTTCTTTTGCATCTTCTAACGCTCCACTTTGGGGACCAACGGCGAGACGAATGAAAGTTGCCTAGGGAAGACCAATCTGCTCCGTGCAAACGGCATAGATTTTTTGTACTTCCGCGTTGACCAGTTAGAAAGGTTGTGGTGCTTTTAGCCAGTCGAAGCTTTTGATGGAGGATTTGGTGAACACGTGAGACAACATCTTGACAAACAAATCACGAAATCAGTGAACCAAAGCAGAACCTAAGGCATGAAAGCAGCTGCATGCAGCTAACCTGAGTCATCATAAAGTAAGCCACCCCTTGGTGTCGCCGGATGTGCCCACTGATGTCTGAGGTGTGCGCTCTGTCGGTGCTTCCACAAGGCCTGCAGAAAAAACAGAGCGGTCTGTGGTGAGCTCCACAAGTCGATTGAATGGTGCCAACAGATTTTTGACTTCCAACATGACCATCCCAGAATTGGTTTGAGGGAAAATCTACAGGAAAGCTATACTTTTGGGGATGAAAACAAGGGTTTCCTGCAGATTTTCCCTTAAACCAATTCATTGAGTCACCAGAAACAGGTTGCCACTTCAATATTGGATATGGAACATCTTCTGCTTCCTGTTGGATGTGACAAACAAACCGCATAATTAAAGCATGGATCTTGCACGGCAGGGACAACTAACTAACAAACATAGCAGTTTCAAAAACCTGAAAATCGGTGAAGACCCAAGGTGACAAGCATAAAACATAGACCATATGTGACAACATGAAGTTTACCTCACAGCCCTCACAGAGTCTTCACTAGTCTTGCAGCCTCAATCCAAACATCACCTGATATTTTGAGAGGTGTCATGAGGTGTCTATTTAATATGGCTCAGGGAAGCTCCACCAAAAGATTTAAGTGGTAAAAACTATGGAACCCATCTTCTACACATAGAAAACACCTCCGAATTTAGGCCCTCCCCTTCTCAGGGCATCCGTCCCAGCCTCCCCTTGGCTTTCTCATTCCACCGTCGACCGAGCTCCACCTGGACTCGTCTCCACCTCCGCCGGTGCCTCGACCTCTGGCCTCGGACGCCGCACCGCAGAAGAGGCAGCGAGAGTGGCGTTGCGTTTGAATATGCGTTTTCTAAGCGACCCCGAACCCAGCCACCCGAATGCTCAGTGGAAAGAGCAATAGGGCTGCAAAAAAATGATAACATAGATATGAAATAATTAGATATGAAATGACATAACCGCTTCCCAGGGAAATAGTTAGACATGAAAAAAGAAAGAAGGAGGTGTTTGAAGACAAGCACAAAGGCAACAGAAGAGTATCATGCAAATTCACATCTATCTCCAACCAAACATAGAGGAACACATGCTTTGTGTGCAAGACCGGAAATAAGGTCTTTCACATTAAATCAACAAAGTGCATGCAGTTTGCAGAACAGGACCCCAATGACGGCTTGTCTCCAGTCGTTCAGTATATTTCCGGAGATTTTGCGTATATAAATCTATGGGCTACGCATTCACAAGAAACAAACATAGATGACATAGACGTCTTTCTTGAACCACCCGGTATGATGCTGGCTGTGGCAGCCAACGAGGCACTACGCGGACGGCCACCGTTCACCTCACCACCCCAATCACCTCTTGGTGAGCGACCGTGCCTGGAGGTTCCCAGCGTGCTCTCAGGAATGAGTGGTGAATCAAGACTATGTCTGGCCTATTTTTTGGTCAATGATCAGGAACGCTTCACAGGCTGGGAAATCGATTGGAAATGGCCCACATCTCCACCTTCGATCTCAGCGGAGATAACCAGGAATGAATCACCATATACATATGTATATTAATCCGTAATTTCTCTTCAGGGTGCGCAGCTCGAGGATCGGGGTGGCTAAGGTTTGATATTCTAAAAATCTACATATCACGTGTATACAATATATACATAGTATATATAATCACACATATATAATTATATATAAGCCACGGTCAAAATCAAGTACTTCTGCTAAGGATGTTGTTTCTTTTTTTAAATTTATCGTTATCGTTTTTTGGGGAGACCTTATCGGTTTTCAGTTTTTGTTTAATCAAATGCGTTGGCATTCGCATTTACATTGTGGATGCATGTGGATGCATATTATGCACAGGAGCTACTCTGGACCGATCGTTTGCAAAATACATCTGTAACGGTTTGTTCTTCATGTTTGTTCCCATGCTCGAAGGCGCTGAAGCAGGATGCCACCAAGCTTGTTCATAGCATCAATGTCTTCACGTATGCTACAAGGGAAATACACTGGCAACTCCAGAACATCCAGGCAGGTACAGTACTGAAAAGGATCGAACATTTTAGCTTCTAGTGGTCGCCAAATCAACATTAACATGGCTTCCGTTACACTTTTCATTTGCAAAAGGGACGTCCAAAATGGTCAAATGGTCAAAATGAACAACGCGTTAATTTACATTTACATTGGACCATTTTGGAGGTCACGTGTGCCTACCCTCTTTGGCCCAGGCGAAGAAGAAGCGACCGCACCGGCTGCGGCTGTGGTCGGTGTTCCTGCTGGTGAACGAAAGGCAGGACCGACACGCAGGTGGAGTCGCTGACGATCATGTTGGCATCCAAACCTGATTGACCTGTTTACATTTGATTTGAACCTGTTTCTCCTGTCTAATTACATTGAACCTGTTGTTGCTTGTGAATGGTGTCCTCCCAAGAATGGACCGGTGGAAGTTGACTTTCCTCTAATAACAAGGGGTGAAGGTAGGTGCGATTCATGTCTTCAATCTCAGAAGGCGAAGAAGGACAATTTGACCCTCCTTGCAGTTGGACAAGCTTGCCTGCATCACTGAGGTTGGGCACCATCAAGGGTCTTGATTGAAATCAATGCGATGTGATACGATGTTGCCTTTAATTTTTTAAACAATGCAGGCCTTTAGTCGACGGCTCGGCCCGATTTCCTGTCCATCAACTGATGCTCTCACCATGTAGACTTGACTTATAATCAGTACAAGTACGGTCCCCGTCCCAGATCGTGGGTTGGGGAGTTTCGCACAGGATGATGCTTGATGAACGCATGTGATCATCCATACAAACCCCGTTCAGATGTCCAAGGTCGTGGTTCAAGTGAGACATTTGTGGAGTCGGGAATCTTGCTAACTACACATCTGAAGACAGCAAGAAGATCGCGAGTGGTTCATGAACAGGTCCCACTGGAAGACCATTTTTGCAAACAGGGTCTGTTCAGGGGCTCCTCCCAGAAAAGCGTGGTACGTCCGATTCCGCCACATGACCGAGCGTCTCGACTTGCGTCCTGCATCGACAGGGACCTCCTCTACCACTGGTGGAGTAGGGGCGATCTGGACCGCTCGCTTCTTCCTGCATCGAATGGGAGCAATTCACCGGAAGAGTGGGACACCGGACCCATCCCCCATCCCTACCGGGTTTGAATATGATCTGCTCGGGCTGCGGTATTCCACTTGATCAACAATAACGGTTATATATAGTATTTTATAAAGCAATATCTAATATATCCTATTACAAAATATTACAAATGGTATTCTCTACCCTACCCCTCCCACTGGCACTATCCCTGGGTACCTCAGGTGGCATACCGACGTTCCGGCTCTTGGTCGTGGCAGGTCTATGGCTATGGCATTTGAAAGGAATCCTGAAGAATCCTGAAGAATCCATGGACTCCATGGACATCACATCAGGCTCCGTCCGTCACACGATCCAGCGTCCGTCGACGAAGAAGACGTGCGGACAGCGGACTTGACCGGTGACTGGACACATCCGAGACCGGCATCCGGTGCGGCACCGGACCCCGCGTGGACCCGAAGGGACCGCGGGGTTTTCACGTGAACGCAGCTCGCTGCGCGGGCGCACTTCACGTAGAGCACCCAAGACTGCCAGGCCAAAGGCCTAGGAAGCAACAGACCGTGGGCAGCTGAGATGGAGAAGGTGAGATGGGTTTAGATCTTTCAAAACCGCAGGAACCCTTACATGTCCAGGTGGTGAAACTGGAGTTCTTCCAGTACAGAGGTCGTTGTCATGTCTCCAATGAACGACACATCAAGCACCTGCAGACATGCAAGATGAGTCGTTTCGGTGGAGTCATGACAACGACCTTGGTCACTCGTTCGGAGCCCCAAGCGGTTTCGAATTCATCAGAAGCAGATTCAACACCAGTCTGCATCTAATTACTATCTATTTTCATCTATTTTCCAAGCCCCCCCTTTTTTGAGGTGTCTATTCATAGCCCCATGGAGGTAATTCGAAACTGTCCATTCACCCCTGCAAGAGCGGCTCCTGGACATGTATATATTAGAAACTGTTAGAGCTCGGTGCGATGCGTCGAGCGTCGCTCATTCGCCGCGGATCGAGCGTCTCTGAGGTTCTTTGGGCGACCGATGCTCTTGGTGATCCACTGGACGCTCCAGACATCCATCTATCCGAAGGTCCGGCTGCAACCGGGCTATTCAACTGGGGCCACGGTCGCAGATCTGGGGATCTCCGCGGATCCCGTGTCTAGCCCGAAACCTCTTATTAAAGCCATGGGAGTTTGGTGATTTTCAGATCATGATGACGATGAGGAGGAGGGCTCTCCACGCACCATCACCTGACGTCAAATACCGGGTAGAGACCCCCTGATGCGACGAGACTCTTCTCCATGATCTCCATGGTTCTTTAATGAGCCATTTGAAGTCCATTTCACTCTGTGCATGAAAACTGTGTCCTCCCTTACTGGATCCATTATTATCTGTAACGTTCCAATAACTAATAGCAACCTCCCTGGACACTGGAAACACAAAACAAACAAACACGCTTTATTGTTGTGGGACAGTCTTTAAGCATCTTTAGACATGGACAGTACATGTTGGTTTGATGGTAGTCTGGTTGACCTAAAAGCCACCGGATCGGCACCGGATCAGCACACCACCCACGACGGCTTCAAGGAGGTGCCGCCGTGCGGCACCGCGCCGCTGTCCAGCGACGCCGCGAAGTGGCGGAGCGCCTCACGCGGGTCGCCCGGTCGGATCGTTTTGGCGAAATGGAAGGGACAAAGGATGAAGCAGGTCACACACACACACACCACCCTTCCAAGCCTTCGTTTCACGAATGAAACCCAAGCTGCTTCAGCTTCCTTTTTGATCCGAACCCTGCCAATCTCCCTTAGCTCCCGTTCCCGTACTCTCCCATATATTGCTTTTCAAGCATGATTTTCAGCACCGAGCCCGAGGAGGGTCTGAATCGATGCCGAGCCGCCATGCACCACCGACACACAAACACGATCGGCACGTGGACCTCTAAATATTCACCAGGACAACACCACCACACAATAGGCTCGTCTTGAAATGTCGCGCTGTGTGGCAACTAGACATAACTGGACAAACCAGCCATGAACAGGCATGGGCCATCGGTCCGCGTCCTCATGAGACCACCACTTTGCGTGCTACATAGTGTAGTGGAGAGCCGCTGGGTTGAGATGCCAACTTGGAGAACTGACTTGGTCAATAGAACACTTAAATCTATCTATTATTGCCACACGATCCACATCAATACTCACGACGCACGCGTGATTGACTTCCTTTTTGGAAATGCTGGCTTAAGGTCTGTGGCTGTGGACGTCAGCTTCCCCGTTTTGATCTCTTTGGATTCCTAAACATTGAGTCCGGCCTTACCTGGTACACACCGACCAAGCTCCACGTCACCTCCGGAAAAGAGGACCCCCCCCCTTCACACTCCGGTCCACCACGGTCCACCTGCAAATGGAAGGCATCGGTCCGCACGTATGTGAAGGCCGGGAGCCTTGGATCCTGCGACCTGCAGCGTGGGTGGCAGGGCTGTGTGTGTGGAGCCTTGGAGTCCCGTGGCGATCGCTGAGCACTGAAACAAGGAGCAAAAACGTTACTAGCAGCTTCTGGCATTTCTACTACTAGTAGGAGCAAGAATCTACTAGTAACAGTGCATCGCTACTAGTAGCAAGAAGCTACTAGTACCTCCTGGCAAGTGTGTTGATATTTCTCTTGATTCTAGCTGGGCGACCAGCCGGTCTGCATGAAGAGTAGTTGCCATGGATGAATGAGATCAGCGACAAAAGTCTTTGGTTTGAAACAGTGTCAACGTGACCCTGCAAACTTTAGGCGACGTTCAACAGAACTCTGGCCACCGTTCTGAGTGACGGAAACAAAACTTCAGATTTGCTCCACTTTAACGTACGAAGAACAAACCACCTCGGCTATTCACCTGGTGAATCTTCTGCGGACATTCGCTCGCCGAGGGTTCCCGAGTTTAAAGCTCTGGCTGTTTCGCTCGGGTTTTCTCCCACCAAGGGAGGCACTTCAAAGGCCGCTTTTCCCACAAGGTCTTGGACGGAAGGTGGAAGTACCTCGCCCGCGAATGAGTGGAGGTCTGGAAATCATGGGCTTTTTGAGTGAGCCAGCTTCTAGCAATCCATTCGGGGCTTTGACACAACCCCGCAAGTAAATGTCAATGATGGCCTCCGAGTTTAGGGATTGCAAGTTCTGACATGTTCTGGCTGCCCAAACTACCAGTGCAAGAAGCCAACTCCGGCTCACTTGTCTTCTGTCATATTGTAGATCCACTCTGATTTGCTCTGATGCATCAGCCACCTGAGTCGGTGTTTCATGGTGTTTCGCTCAAGGCAAGCATCAGCTGCTTGCACAAGCTTCACAGCTCTCCAGCTTGAAGTCTGAAACAAAAAACTCCCACTTGCATCATCCAAGCACAGAAGCTTTCTGAAGCTGGGTGACTCACTTTAAGATCTCTCTCTCTCTCTCTCAGACGTATATAAATTATATAGTCTATAGTTGTATAGATATATCGCTTAGGTCGGTTTTCCAACATGGCCCTTGTTGCATATGCAACCTTCTCCCAGCAGAAATCCACATGAGGAACTCCCAGCACTGGGGTGTCCGACATCGACTGACCCTTGGTCGCAGACGACTCGGGCTTCCAACCTGGGGAACTTGCTGTGGGTGTAGGAGTGCACTCAAAAGCAAACAGTCTCCCCTCACAGTCTCCACTCACCATCCGCGAGAAGAGCTATCTCACATTAGCTCACCACCTACCCACCTTAAGGATCTCGACCCCGGCTTGAACTTCTCACAGTCTCCCCTGTCCATGTGACGCCTTCGCTCCTCATGGCGCTCGCGCCCTCGCGCCTTGCGTTGGCGGAAGTGGCACGCCCAAGGCCTCCATGCCTTGGTGCGAAGAGTTGGAGCCACAAGCCGGTCAGGCCACATGAAGCGTAGACCACCCCGCTCCAGCGTAGACCCCCCTAACATGAAGGCTACATGTGGGCCTGTACTGGGAAGTCCCTGAGTCGTGCCTTACTACAAATAGGATTCCGCATGATTCCGCCTTTTTGAGCGAAGAGTCCTTAAAACAATCAATTGATTGGCCTAGGGACACATCTACTGAGAATCGACTGAAAACCATGGTTTTAACCTCCAAGTTATTGGGGTTCATGTAGAATCTTTCTTTAAACGCAACTCTGCTATTGAAACACCCTAGGTTCAAAGTGACTCAGCGAAATCACGTGGGAACAGCATACCTTGGTTGGAGTCAGGTGAGCTGCTCTGGGATGGTTTGCACATCCTTTATCCAACGAGAAAGCCACACCATTGTTTTTGAAAATAGGGTTCGTCACCCAGGCCCATAAGGCTTTATGAAGGGAGCGCCAGGGTTTCTATTGTCCTTATGGACCCGGTGATTTCTGATTTCCACAGCACCGAACACGTGGGTGAATCATGGACCATGACTTGAATAGTGATGATTCTTGGACTTTTACTGGGCGGAGAAATTGCCCAGCGAGTCGACAACGCGTTTCTTGGCCAAGCATAGAAGGTGATGGGCCAATCAGTTTATGTGACTACTGAGTACATCGGAATGACATGGAATGATACTGTAACACTCCCTGAAATCAGGGAAGTGGAAGGCACATGAAGGCACCACCTTTTTGGTATGAGGGTCTCATAGTCATCCTTTTGGGGCGCATGACTCCCGTGGCCGGTGCGGGACGGATGCCAGTGTCCTCCGACGTCCGTCAGACGTGCCGTTCTCTCGTCCCATTCTCGGGTGTGCACCACTCCAGCCCATGATTTTGCTCAGATTTTCCTCTATACATCTCGATTTTTAGTCATTACCACTCATTTGACCTTAAAACGTCCTTGGGGCTCCCAGGGTTTTACATGGTTTGGGACTCTGGTTTGACCTCGACCCGACCAGTCCGGTTCCCACCGACCCACCGGTCGTGGGTCAAGCGGCTGGCAAAGGAGGCAGCAGAGGTCTTGGTCTCTGGCATCTTAGGCACTGCTGCCTGGTCAAAGCGAAGAAACAGAAGGTCGAAGCTTTGAACCGCAACAGCAAGTCGTCTACAGTCTAGTTCAAGCTGATTCATGCCGATGTTCTTTCGAGGCAGATTCATGCAGGAAGACTTGAGGGTTCTAGGGTTTGCTCATGTTTGCTCCATGACTGCGTCAATCCACACGGAAAAAAACATGAACCAGAACCCATCTATTTGAGATGGCTTCCACTAGTAGACCCAATCCAACAGGCCCCTTTCTGCCGGTGCCCCGACCTCCCGGTCTGCTTCGGAGAGACAGCTCTCAGCTTCCTGACCAGTCGAGCGAAGAACTGGGAGTCCAGGTGGACCAGGTCACACTGACATCGCATCCGAAGAAGTCACTGGGAGTCTGGTTGAAACACACCAAAGCTTCTGGTTGAGGATGGTTTAGTTGTGGTTCAGGTCGGAGACGTTGACAGGGGGAAGCTACATCGAATTCCTAGATATCCCTAGCTCCCTTAGAATCAAGACTTCTAATTCTTCTGTGTTCGTTTACTCCTTGTCCAAAAGAACCAAGCCATCATTGCCTTTCCGCGATCTAAGCTGAGCTACGGTGGCTCGGCACAAACGGTCTCCGCGGAAAACATATCGCTCACATCTCGAGGAGAGACTCACTCCTTCATGCGAGAAGAGGGGCGGCCTGACAACGTTGGATGGCGTGGCATGTCGCGGTGGCTCCAAAATAGAGGACACCCAGTACACCCCAAGCCCAGGAGCAAAAGGACGAACAAACATATTCATTCCTGGTCTTCTTTTTATGAGGGATGTAGCTTGGGTCTATCCTACGTTCAACAGCAGTGGACATTAAGGGGCAGGCGGCGGCGGCTGATGTTGAGGTGACAATATAATATAATGGTGATTTTGCAACTTTTCAACAACACACACAAGTATGGTGCTCTGACTTTGAAAACACATCTATCGTCTATCTAGTGTTTGAACATCCTGACATGAACATAAACAAATAAAATCATTTGGGGGTGTTCATCAATGATTCAACATCAACTCTTAATCTGAACATCTTTCCCTGCCTGTGAATACCGACTTGTTTTACTCGTCTCCTTTTCAGCTGGAAGCGGACACCCACTCTTTCAACTATTGGCCTGGCCCTCTCGTGCCAGCTGTCTCTGTCGGAGCCCACCAAGGCCCAACCACAGAAACTATGGAAAGTAACATGAAGTAATATGAAGTAATGTGTATAGCATATGTAGCACTAGGAGAACACAACTCCAACACTCCAACAGGGGACCACCAACACTCCAACACTTCCGAAGCCTCGAGAACGCGGGCCCCGCGGGCGTTCTCGCGGGCGGCTGCGTGCAGCAGCCCTGACCTGGCCGGGCTTCCACCCGTCCGATGTTCAATGTCAAGTTAGCCTCTGCCGAAGACGCTTTTAGCATGAACATGTCTTTCCACAACTTCAGTACTGGGACTGACATCGGGTGTTGGAGCGGTTTGGATCCATCATGATGGTTCTCGTCGTTGCTGTGAAAACGGTTCTCCTTTGATGAGAAAAAGCCATCCTCTCGACTCTCGAATGCTTCGGTTCTTGCCGGCCCTACCAACGTTGGGCATCTACCAGCCGCTCCTTCGGGGGAACAGGGAACGGGTGTCCCGTAGGGACGCCGGCCGTTCACCTCGGTCTTCGCAGCATCGCCCTCCAGCAGATCTGACCTCAAGGACTCCCAACATGGATGTGTTTCTCCCCTCTTTTTGGGGAAGGATGGGATGGTAGACTGGATTCGTTAAGCAGTTGGGTGCCCACATTTCAACACATCAACCCCTGTTTTCCGCTTGAGCCGCTTCATGGTGGGAATGAAGGATACTGAGACAAGGCAACGTGCACCCTACACGGATCAGCAGCCTGGTGTAAAAGCTTGCGGGGTGAAAGTGGATCAAGATTGTTTGACAAGGCAGGATTTGATGGGTGAATTCTGACTCTGGCTATGCTACTTTCTTTGTATCGCTTTGAATTGTACGTAATGACGTAACCTATGTCGCCCCAGACGCCTCAAAGAGAATTAGGGGTCGACCATGGGTCGACCCACCCAAAGATTTGATGGCATCTTCCAGCAGGTCAACGAACATCAATTGTCCAGGGCCTCTCCCGAAACAATTTAGTAACAAGTGCATCGCTACGTTCGTAGCTTCTTGTTACTATATAGTAGTAATGCCAGGAGCTACTAATAGCGTCCTTGCTCCTAGTAGCGATGCCCTTTGTTACTAGTAGCGATGCACTTGTTCCTAGTAGTCTCAAGTCCAATCACCGGACCTGGGAACCCCGCCGCAGCACTCGCAGCACTCGCAGCACGAACCGGTCGGGCCAGAGAGCCACGAGTTGCTTGTGTTTGGAGTGGCTTTTGTGGGTTTTTCAGGTACCGAACAGGCTTTTCTGTCAATCCCATTCCAAGAGTCACGCCCGTTCGCCCCAAATGTCGACTTTGGCGACCAGCGCCTAAGCGCCAGACCGGCCCTTATGAACCAACACCGGCAACACTTGTCAGAACTTTGGATCCCCATCTAAAATAGGCAAGACCAAGGGAACTGTGCCGCCTACTCAAATGAACCAGTGTAAACATCATTATTGAAGGAGGAGGAGCAGTAGCAGTCGCGGTGGTGGTGGAGGCTAAGAACTGCCACATGGGGTCCGGCGGAAGACACTCGTCAAAATGGCTGTTGACAAACCAAATCAAAATGGTTGTTCATGTTGCTGGAACTGCTGTGGTGGCCGAAACAGTCACGGTGGCCGGAACAGTCACGACCATCTGGGGAACACCCCACTGGAATCCTTAATATAGAAAGAAATAGAAAGAACATCTCTTTGTTTGTGGAAGTCTTCCCACTAACACCACTTAATGGTGCATTCATCCTATCTACTTATCTACTTCAGAAAGTCCCTAGGCCCAACGGCACGACGACCAGCGCGGAACCTTTTGCCACACGACCAGCGCTTCTACTCCAAAGACGTCTGAGATATTTGCTGCGTTCAAACCTTGTGTCATCCTCATGAATCATGGTATATACATAAATTGTAGAGTTATAAAGCTTGTGAAACCAAACAGGGGATCCAAAAAAGCATTCGAAGTCACATTGGTGTCTTCAAAAGCGAATGCAACTTTCTCATTTGATCCTGGTGCTCTGCCAGCATTACTCTGTCGTTGCTTCGCTTCGTCAAACTGCAGTGCATCCAGCATTACTCTCCGGCAAGACTTGCAGCATGCTTCGGCTCGTACGCAGCATGATGTCATCCGCATGTGAAGTTGAAGTTCCCACAACTTAGGATGCATAGATTCTACAAGCCAAAGGCTCAGACTGCTTTCATACAAGGGAGTGGCCTAAACCCAGCATGCAGCATGCTGGGTTGATACTGAAAGCAAACAAAGGCCTCTTAGAAGTCTTTGTACTCAAAACACCTTGTGGTTCATCACGGTTCATCCGTGAAGAAAAACCAACTCAGCAGCCAAGGGTTCACGCGACATCGCCCCGGGTCCGTCATCAATTCTCTGGCACGTCCTTCTCTTTGTCGTCATGGTTTGGCCTTTGCCCCACACGTCCATCCTTCGCCTGGAGAGCAAGGCGAGCAAGGCTCGTGAAGCTTAGCTTTTCCCCTTCCCCAGTATGGTCACACTAGGGGTTCTGGGAGGTAAGCGTATATAAGTTATAAGTTAGTGTTTTACGGCCGGGTGTTTAGAATTTTCCCCCAGAAGTCACCCGAGTCACAAGACTTGGCTCCATCCAGCAAATGTGGGGGAACAAATACTGCTTTGTGGCAAGACTCCCCCACAAAAAGTACACTGCCGAAAACTAACATAGACCCTGACGTCCTGGCCCCCTGGAAGAGTGTAGGCTCCTCTACCAACCAGTGGTTTTCAGGGTGCATGGGATCGTCTTCCAGTGTGTACTCCAAGTGGACCGGGCCATCTCTGGCGTTGATCGGCCACGGCTAGCGAGCGCGTCAGCGAGCATCCCGCGCCTCCCACCGGCGTTCACGGTCATAGATCTCGATTCCTCCGATCACGTGGGCAAGGCCACCCTCCAGCTAGCATTTCGATCTTTCTCATGCATCCACGATCCAGACCATATCACGTACCCACCGTTTAGAGTGTTGTCATACCGTGTAACACGGCGACTGGAAAACGATATGGCAAGGCTTGGCCGCTCCGACCGCGGAGCACCGGACGCCGAGCTCCCGCGCCGAGCTCCCGGAGCCCGTCGCGGAGTCGGTCCGCTTCGTTGAAGTTCCGCTCCTCGGACGAAGGTGGACAGGGAAGGGGGAGGGGGCTGTGGTGACATGGGAATCCCTGGACTCAAACCTGGTCATGACCTCTATTTTGGACCACCTATATACCACCCCAAATATGGCATTTTCCTATCAAAACAGGGGTCCATTGGGTTCCAGGTATATATTGCATGCAACATATCATGTGATATGTATGCATATAATATGTGCATATATACAGACTGGTATCCAGGGAAAACACCGATCTGATTAATCCAAGATGGAGAAAAGGTGCCCGTAAACAATGTAATTACATGCCACTAGTCACTAGTCTATCTTGGTGATCATAAACATCTACAGTAAACATTTGACATCAGGTGACTTTTGTTGTTGTATGGGTCAATTGGGGTCCAAAAGCCGACATCAGGGTGACCTTAGGTGCTTGGTCTCCAAAGAAGAATCGTCACTGGTGCTTGTTCACCAGGAAGAACAAATGGCAAGACATGGGGCAACAAAAGCCGTAAGTGGCCCAATGCATCCATGGATGGCTTCAGCAACTTGGAGATACTCTTCGACCGCTTCGAAGACTCAACCTCTGACCTGGGCCCGAGCAATGCGGGCTTTCTCACGTTTCACGAGCTGGTTCCACACGTAGACCTTGGTTCGCTGTCGCATTGGCGGTGAGAGAAGCCGCCGTTCGCTGCGTGGGTCTCGGGGGAAGTGGACACGTCTAGGGAAGTGGAGGCGTCCTTGGGCCTAAAGAGTCAATGGATGGCTGCTTGTATTTTTGTGGGTATACATGGCTCTTGTATATTTGAGATGCACAATTATTGCATGATTTATGTTCCTTGAGTAGTTATTCCTTGAGTAGATATGAGCTTTTGTTATATGACAAAGGGACCTCCTGTGCTTTGATCTACGTGACCCAGGTCGGATCGGACATCAGGCCACGGGTGGTGGGGTCACACTCCGCCCGTCTGCGCGCTCCGCCTGAGGCTGTCACGTTTGATGGATCTCCGTCACGGCTTGGTGTGCGCCTGGGTGGCACACATGGCCACATGTGGCAGAAGTGGCCGAGTGGGGTGGGTCTAAACTCCAAGCTCACCTGGAGATCAACACAAATCAGGTCGGCTTCTTCCTGTGACTCCCAAAAACTTGTCAACTAGGAGGTTCAGCACCTTTCTCGAAAGGAATCTGTCAAAATCAGTCTGCTTGGTTCGATTGAAGCGTGTGCTGGTGAGTCTCCTCAAAGACTTGGGAAAGTGGTAAGTCTGACAAATTATTGCTGTGAGTACTCTTTGGGGTCATCCCAAGTCTGAGCCGTAAAGCTAGTCTCACAGGCGTGCCTTCAGCTTTCAACAAGCTCTCTTGCACACAAACGCACGTTCAGCGCACGCAGCGCGCGCGGGGGGCGCTGCGCGCAGCACACGCAGCACGCGCAGCAGCTGCAGCGCAAACGCCTGCTGCCTGCTGCCTGTTTCTAGGACTGCCCACAACAGTCACCAGTCCCCCAAAGCAACCCGCAGGTCATAGATGAAAACCGCACAGCATTTCAAGATATTCCAAGTGAAGAAGGGCTTGATTCATGCCCAGCGAAAGCCTGGGAAACTCCTCTTAAAAGTCTTACTCCATTGACGTGGATTCTGGAAACTCAAGCAATCACGTAGGCTCTAACAACTTTCCTGACATCCAAATTGCCCTGTCAGAATCAAAGGCTCAGTAAAGATCCCACAAAACTAGAGATGAGACGAATGAGCAGTCCGAGCTCCAAAAAGGCCTGGCCAAGTCTGACATTCGGAGTCAGGTTCTGAGTCATCGGGGAGAGACACAGTCATTTAGCAATTCATCCGAAGGTTGGAGCCTCCAATCAATGGCCCTTCAAGGCAACCAATCTTCTACGCCTTCTCTATCGTGTGTAGACTTGGTGTAAGATTCCAGGCCTACCGACGGTCCCGTGCAAATCCTGTCGCAGCGCGGCACGTCACCACAGGGTTGCTGCGGCCAGCGACAGGAGAGGGGGGGGCCCTGCGCCGCAAACGCATCCGCACCGCAGCAACGCTGCCGCCCTGCCACAAGCCCAAATGTTTTGAAAACAGCCGTAGATATTGTAGACATCAACTCAACGTAGCTAGCGGGTGTGGACACAGTTATACTAAGCCTGTCAGTGAAATCAATTACAGTGAGAGTCTTGGGATAGAACTGTATAAAGAGCATGATTCTTTCTAAACATTTTGAGATATGTTGAGCATAATTAAGAATCTATTGTAACTAACTATTAATCCACAAAAACCGAGAATAATTGAAGGACCCAAATGGTGACCGCCAACGTGTCGAAAAAAGGTTCCAGAAAGGCTCATCGGATGTTGTAGCAGGACATCCCGGCAAATCAAGGCGTGGACTATATAGCCCAGTTCTTTCATGTGGCAACATGGGCATTACTTAAGGCTCCTACAAGAAAGGATGCTGAAAAAGGCCTCGGATGCTGGATGGCACCCCACTTTTCTTGAGGCTATTTTCCAGTCTAGTGGCTTTTCAGCCGGCCAGCCATCCTCATGCCCTTTGATTCACCCTCATCCGTTGCGCGCTGTCCAGCGCACAGATCTGCCCACGCGCACATCTGCCCACAGATCTCGACAGGCAGGACGTGTGGACGCTGCATTGGGAAGAATCATGAAGAATCACAGGATTTGCCAAGTTTCAACTAACTGGCATTTGTGTGTTTCGGGTCTTTCAACGTGGTCGTGTCTTCAGGTGTCTTTCACAAAAGGGTCGGTCCATTTCTTTGGCACCTCGCTTAGATCATGGAAAGCACCTGATGACCTCGTCACACCATAAACGCACCTTGTCCATCCCCCAAGAGCTGAATCCTAACTGGGCAGGTAGGTGTTGCTTGCCTTCGTGATTTTGCCCTTAGAAGGGGTCTTGGGGGAGTCTTTCATCAGCTTAAAACCAAGCAGCAAAATCCCCAGAAGCAGCATGCAACAAAACAGGTGCTATGGAAACCATTATTAAGTCATACGTTGGTGCTATGATTACACCAAGCAACCAAGCTGGGGAGCCTCTGCACTGGGTCCCCCACTTTGCTTCTCGTCCGCCACCGCCACCACCAAATCCGGGCCTTCCACCACCCTTTCCTCCTGGCTCAGAAACCAACGCTTCTGCTGCAAATCTCTTGGTGTTGTGAAGGTCTAAACCAAAACTGGTTTGGTGAGACTCCTCACGGAGGATCGGGGAGTGCAAGGTCACGGTCAGGTCAGTCACCATCTCCAGACATTGACCTTCCTAACTTTCCCACGGTTTTTTTTGCAGTATAAGGGGCCTTAGATATCTGAAAGAATCGATCTCTCTGGGACTGAGAATGGCTTTTGGACCGCCCTACTGCGACAGTCCAGATCCCGAAAAAGTGGTATGACGCCCTGAGGCGCATTCAGACCAGGTGGGGACATGTTCACTACAAAGACAACCAGCGCTCTTTCCACCAAACCGAAAAGAATCCCCAATCATTTTCATTCTCACCTCGGTTCCAGCAGTGAATCTAGAATCTACATGAATCTACAACGTTTCCAGATCGGAACGCTCACACATCGCATGCTATCGATCGGATGGCTCACACATCGCATGTTCTTTCGCTCACCTGCGGTTTGCCCACACTTCTCCTGTTACCATCATCAAATTCCCCCAAATATGGGGATTACCTTCTGTGGAAGAGTTACTTAAGAGTTATACGTACATTGGATCATTGTCACGGGGTCAATATGGTCTGGGACCTCCTATACTTTTTTGATTTGCTCATAGAGCTTCTTGAAGTTGCTCACCCTGGCGTCGCCTTCGTCGATCTCCCCAGCCTGGTCCTCCTCCTCCCATCGGTCGCCGCTCGCGGCTCCTTCCTGGCAAGCGGTGAGGTCGAAGGGCAAAGTGAATGTGGTTTCAAATGAGGGCGGTTAGCCAGGGTTTCATGGATGCTCAGGGGCGACCCCACAAGGATCATCATCAAGCTTGTACGCTCAAACAACCTAGTATATAACTCAATACACTTGAACACGCATCACTGTAATTAGTACCCAAACGCCCTGGGATCTATGTATGTCATATATTCACCTACATTGGGGTGGTTTGAGGGGTCAATGTTCCAGTCCCATGGAGTGTCTGGGGTCTAGATGTGCCACCATGACAAAATCTCGCAAAGGCTGGCCACGCTTGGGCGTTGCCAACGATCTCCAGGAGCGTTGACCCGGAGTTTTTTGCTTTGCTTTGGACACGATTTTGGTGCCTTTTTTTGGTACCGTGGGCATTTGCTAACTTCATTGAACACTTTCCCGGCGTGGGGAGTACGCTCTTGGCGTGCGATGTGTTTCTGCAACGTGGAGCAGCCTGTGAATCATGCAGCGCAGTCTAAGAAAGCGGTGTAATCTTCTTTCTGCTCGGTCTCTGCTCTAGACTAACCTGACATTCTTGTGTTTTCTCAAAGGCCAAGCGCATTTCCTTGGGCGGTTTCAAATACACCAAACAAAGACTGGGATGGACCACATCCAAGCAACCACGGACAGGACGAGCAGAAGCAAATGCATGCAGTGCCTTCCATGCACACTGTCAGGCTGCAAGCTGTGGACGGCACATCAATGCATGTCAAGCTTCCTCCTTGCGGTCTCAAGCCAAGAAAACTCAAGATGACCAGCTCTCAGGTTTTTTTACCCTCCCGAGTCCAGTCACCAGGCGCCAAGATGACCAAGCGCCTTATAACTCGGCCTTCTGTCTTGTCATCATGCAGCTGGTACAAGGGCACTTAATACTCAACGACTCGTGCAGGCTTTGCATCACAGCTCTTCCCTGCTGTTCACATCGAACATCAACGCCAAGGGGCCACTCAGTTCACCAAACACTCCAATTGGTATCAAAGCTTTCGTTTTTCCAGTCTACCTCCTCTTCAGTTCATAAAGCCATCCACCGATATAGGCATAAACCTTCAGTTCAAAAGTTCTGCAATTGTAGGGGTCAGGGGTCACACTACCTATGTTTGGGCTAGGTCGGCGGAGGTCTCACGGTCTAATATGGATTTAACGGTGTGTCTCAGAAAGTTCAGTTGCACCTTCTGTTCACTGGTGCCCACTCACCACGGCGTCAGATGTCAAGTGGTGCCGTTCCTCACCCCGCCTCGTTCGCGGCGGCCTTTGCCTCCACCGCCCCGTCGAGATCGGCTTCTGCGGCGATGACGGGTGCCCCTGGGCGGCCGGGGACGGGTTGGGTTCCACCATGACCACAAGGCAGTCGGTATAAGAAATGGTAACCGAAACATAAACAGACTCTTTTGCCACGTGTATACACTGTATAGTCACTAGTTCAAAGCAAGCAATTCTTGTTTATCTGCTTGTCAAATGAACAGCTATCTGAAGGAGATGACATTCCTGGACTGACGAGCTGGACGAAGTGCTTTGTTCCAATCAGAGCGTACTTTCTTTTTGTGGGCAAGATCTACTGCACATTCACCTCCTCCTTGACAGAGAGAGGGAGAGATAACGAGAAAAGAAGCAACAGTAACAGCACTCTACTCCATGTCATTCCCGCTCTCTTTTCATCTCATCCTTCCAGTTTCCCATCTCTTCAGCTTCCAACCCCCCGCAAGCTCCACTGCAGCCCAGTGGCCCACGCTCCCGGCGACCCTTCCGCTCGCCCCCACGCCGCCCGCGGCGCGGACGGGGCGTCGGTGAACGGGACTCGGAGTAATAGCCTGGCAGGTCCGGTGTTCGAGCGGTGTTCGGGGAGCGGTGAGCAGCAATGCTTGATGGCTTTATACATACCTGGCTTAGCCTCCTAACTTTAACACTTAAAGCACTGGCGAACCATGGTTTGGCTTGGAGCACTTATTATATATGTACTGTATATATATATATATATCACATCACCATGGTGGTGGTCGGGCATGTGGTACTAAAATGATGTAGAATAAATCAATTTGTGGGTCGGGGATGTTGCTAGATGGGTGATAAGAAACAGTGGGTTCATTCTTGACCATCACTATTTGGCTTGGCAGATTTGTTGGGTGGGCGGCTGAATGTCCGGATGCATCTGGATGATGGGAAGGTTGATTAGCCACCCATAAGGATCAAACCGGTCCCTCACATGCTGTCGCGAAACCTGTTCGAAGATCCACCCCCCTACAAACCCCCGCGCCCCTTTCAACCCTTCTCCCTCGTCCATTTGCCAGAGTCTGAGTATGACAAACAGGCCACGGGCGAGCTATAGTAATCGTCCTCGTAATAGTAGTCCGATGGCGTGGCTTCTCGGTCACCTTGGGCGTGTCTTCTCCGGCCACCAGGGAGGATGACACGAGTTGTCTGAGTGGCAAATGTCCGAGGACGTCATCCTCATGAAATGAGTGGCATGTTGTGGGAGGACGCTACTAGGGGCTCCTGGCCTTACTACCAGGAGCAAGGACGCTACTATGGGCTCCTGGCCTTACGACATGAGGATGACAACTCCGGCAGAAGTGGATGACCGGAGTGGGTCAGACGAGGGAGTCAGGGCAAGTTTTGCAAGCTCTGCAAGCTCTGCAAAGAGCTGTCAGGCACAAGAAAGGGCTCCGTAGCTCTGCTCCGGGGATTTCCGGACTGTGCCAGCACAAGATGTTTGGATGCATATAGAACCAGTTGTTTGGACACCTGAAACTTCCACTCACAAACGGGGCAAAAACAAGACCCTCTACAAATGTTAAAGTCTACTTGGATGGTCTTCCATGCGCATGCCCCCCCAAGGCGAGCCCTTCCACTCTTCTAGGCGTCTCACGTCGGCGTGGCATGGTCAGCACTGCGAGCGGGTCTGTTCAATGATTTTGCTGTGGCCGTTTTGTTTGTTTCTCTCAGTCAGTGCTTTGTTGAGTTGCTCTCCAAAATTCAATCTTTCGATCGGATTCCATCGACCTCATGTGCAGGCCCTTGCGATGGATGCTTGGCCATTTTCCTTTTGACTTGAGCCGCACATCAAGAAACCACGGAGGCCTACCATCTCTGCCTATACTAAGCCCTTCTTCCTTTGCTCCAGACTTCCTCTGCCCCAAAATCTTTCACAAAGCTCGACTCTTACTAGCTGATGCTTTGAAGGCTACAGATTCTGGAGGAAACATGGATCCAGATTCGAAAATCTTGGACTGAAAGCCACGTTTTTTTTGGTTTTTCCGTTTACACGTGCTCCTGCACCTGGTGAAACGCTTAGCTGGGGAATGCTCATTCCCCGTCGGAAACACGAGCCACATGGTGGTGGGTCAAAGGGAACCATCTTGTAAACATAAAAAACACCAAACTGGATTGACCGAGAGGATCTGAAAAAAATCCTCCATGAAACACATTAACTGAACCACCTGGCAAACTTCCAAAAAGGGTTGGTACTGACTGCCCTACGATGGTCAGAACTGGAATAAAAATCGACTAGTCACTAGTCACTAGTCCTCACTTGGCGCTTAATGTCCTTCGGTGATTTGACCCACGTTGCCGCATGATGTCACTGGCATCCATGCCTCTGCTCATGTGACCTGACACCAAAACTGCTGACATTTTGGACTGGCCACGCTCGCTGCGTGCCCACGGCGCCTCCTGCCGCGTGTGTGCAGCCAGACCAAACCAAACATGTAATATGTGTTTCAAATCTATCTTTCTGTCAAATTTACATCTAATAACATGGGCCCATGCCCAAACGCTCCATGTATGGCATATTTCTCTTTAAAAGGTTATCACGGCAAAAGACCCCAAATAATGTATAATAGATTATCATAGTGTATCTAAAGGTCTAAGGTCAAGAGGTGTTGAAACAGAAGGTCTAGAGATCCAAACGTGCTGGGTTCCAAAGTGAGGTGATGGTGGTGATTTTGTCTACGCGCAAGGGAAAGGCGCAACATTTGTTTCACAACCCCCATGATGACCATAGCGCCTGCATTTTATCAACCAAAGCCTTACTCTGTCCTCGGAAGTAAGCCCCCCAACACACAAATATATATACAGTACGGACCATGTAGCACCAATATAGACCTTTAAAGTAGAAGAGGAGGTGGCCTCCTGGATAACAAGTGTGGGGTTGCAAAAATGAGGAAAAACTTGGGATATCCTGGCGTATCATGTGGCAACATGGGGGGTATCTCAGCATCATGCCCTTAACCTCAGAAACAGGCCCCTCATACATGTCTAATGAGATCTTATCATGGGCATCTAACCTACAGACGACGGCATTTCAAAAGCAACAGGAACTGGAACTACGTATTTGTTTTGTAAGGTTATATCGAAGCAAAACTTGCGATCCGATCCGTTCCCATCCCACGACACAGGACCCAGGACGATTGTCTAATTACTCCCGTATTGGTAGTTGGTAGAGAAACTTCGCAACACCGTGACGACCCTCTATTTGGACACCTTGTTGTTGAGCTAGATTGACTTGTCTAAATTTGAGTCAAGCTGGGGGTTACTAGAGTCTTAGAATCCTTAAACGCATTAGCATTATACAACTGACTCCCTCAATATCCCCGGCCAACAAAGGCAAGGCTCTATTTTTCCACCTGCTTTTGCTTAGTGGACAAGCAACTCCCAAAAAAGGTGGGGCAGGTCACTAACCATGCACTCACTGGGTTGGATCATATATATACGATGCAGACTTCAGGAATGGAACCGTGCCTTCTCGAGCTCTCGAGCTGTTCGGCGTGCACCCCACAAGTAAGGTAACCACTCTTTCTGGAACTAACATGGAAGTGGACAGCCCCCTGTTTGTAGAGAAAATGGGTTCATCCAAAGCGCGAGGTTTCCTTTGCGCCTGTCATGAAAAGTGATCACCAAGTCCAAAAATTCACACGGCACCACGACTTGAGCGCAGTCTCGCAAAGCACCCGCTAGCGCAGTCGAAATGCACTTCGAAGATCTCGAGGTGAATGAATGCACTGTGAATAGCACCCGACGAGCACCTGCGATCAGACACCTGGCCTTAACTCTTACCGTAAGAAGCCCTAGTGCCACCACACTGTTTGGGTAAACATGCCATACATATTCATACATGGAGTGGCTGGGATAGGAATCACAGACTTGGGGGACCTAGTCGCCGGCTCTCTGAGCTACTGTTCCTCTACAAACCTACAAACCGCGGGATTGGTGAGGGAAAGCCCCAAATAGGCACATCTACATGCAAAGAACTTGCCAAGAAATGTGAAATGTATGTTGAACTATTTTTTTTGCACTCAAGATTGAGTCCATGGGGCCATCCCAATAGCAGTCCTCACACCTAGCATTGATGAACACATATGAAAACAATCCTGCATCACTGCATCAAGGCATGTGGTTTTTCAATGTAACATGCACTACCACACTCCCAAATCAATGTTTTTTTGGGTTTGGGATGTGTGATGCAGGATTTTGTTCATTCAACCTTTCTTCTGTCCAAAGCATTTTTGCTATTTAAAGGCAAGGGTACATGGAAGCGTTCTTCTCGGCGCAGGATCTTGTTCATCAATGGTAGTATCCTGGTGTCTCCATTTTCCTAACATGGTTTCATATGATTTCTACTGCAGAGATTCAGCATGATTCAACAGCAGTAGCAGTAGCAGTAGCAGTAGCAGTAGCAGTAGCAGTAGGAGGAGGAGGAGGAGTAGGAGTAGGAGTAGGAGTAGGAGTAGGAGTAGTAGTAGTAGTAGTAGTAGTAGTAGTAGTAGTAGTAGTAGTAGTAATAGGAGTAGGGGCAACTAAAGGAAAAAGGGATGCAAAACAGCGAAACAACCGTAGTAAAGCCACCCGGGTTGCTCCTGTCCCCCATAGCGGTCATCACTTTCGTGTGGCTGCGGCTGCAGTGCGCGCACGTTGCGCCAGGCCTGAAAGCGAACAAAAGGCCTGGGGCGACAGTCCACCCAACCACCAGCACCCAGTTTAGGCGACATATATATATATATATACATGTTTATAACCCCTCCTCTAATTGCTAAGTCCACTAAGTCTGTAGACCACGGATACTCTTAGTGTTGGACTTCATCTGCATCTGTTCAAAACATGCACTCCCGGCCACAGTGAAACCAGCATGTTCACTACCTTTCTTCTGAAGTGGTGGTGTTCCATGTTCCATGTTCAAGCCAAACCATGCCAAACCTATCCGTTGAATGAGCAAGAATACCAGCAGATTGAGCCCTGCATCCCCGCCATCTTATTCATGATTCGGACCCCTCTTTTCCTCCTTGGAGACCTGACCTCACCGGCGACCTGACGCTCGCACAGCCCGCCTTTGCCACGGCCCTTCCCGCCGGGGCCGTAGACACCACGCCCCGCGCCACGGCCCTGGACGAGCAAAGGGATCGGGAGGTTTCCGTGGTTTCAGAAAGCACCTCTGCCAAATGCTAGCATGTGCAGCTTCTGTAATTGGGTTCCACGAGCTTCTGACTCCGAACTATTTTGTCCAAAAAGAGGGGCCGAACACGAATCCTTGTTTCGGCCACGGCGGCATCCGGCCGACCACGGGCTCCTTGGAGTGTTTCCGGTCGGCGAACACGCCGACCCGGTGGACTGGTCGGCTGGAGTTCTGTATGAAAGGTTTTCGATCGGTGAAGATAGTAGAACCGGCTTGACGTACCGGAGTGCTTGATTGAGCTTCTAACCACTAGACCCAGCTTGATCGCCGATCCAAAGTCTGTCAACTGCCTCTGGAGGATGTATGATGTGCAGTTTTTTCGTGCGCAAATCACACACCCCAGGCATCCCAAACCAAAGGACACATACAATTTAGAGTTCTCAAGTTAACCCATCAACTGCCATGCGGGGTCTCCGCTTCGATCACCACCCGACGTCCGCCGTCTGAAAAAAGCGCCATTCTGGCCTTCTTCTTGAACATTGGAGCGTGCCGGAGCCTCCACCACACCGCAGAAACACAACAAACTAGCAATCGTGACTGGTCTTCCCTTATCCGGAAACTCATGTATGGCTCTGGCTCCACTTCTGCATGTATTTTTCGACAGATTTGCAAAGAACTTCTCACCAGTTCGGTACTGCGGCCACACTTGTTCCAACGTGGTATTCTGCCTTGTCTCTCAGCCGAACCGATTTAAAGTTCTGCGCCTTGATCACCATGCCACATGCCTTTCCTTGACCCCGTGATGGCTGGAACAACGCAGCCTTTTGTTCGGGATGCTGCTGCTGCTGATGATGATGCTGATGATGATGATGATGATGATGACGACGACGACGACAGCAGTGGTGGTGGTGGTGGTGGTGGTGACGTGTGGTTCTCATTGACCCCTCCCAGCTCCCAGAGCGACCAGCATTTCGAACTGAGATCCCCCGGCATGTCGGGGAGGATGAAGTAGCGGATCTGAGACCCGCGGAGGTAGACTTGCTCCAGATTTGTCACCTCTGATGCTTGGCGCGATTGAAGAGAGAGAGAGAGAGTGTGTGTGTGCACCATGTTTTTTGGAGGGGGCTCGGGGAAGAACGAAGACCTCACGACGATTGATGTCGGAAAACCCTCAAATGTCGCGCATCCAGCGTTGAATCTTTCAAAGACCAGAACAAGAATCGGCGTGCACCAACAATTGGACTGGCTCCCAGATTCTGGCTGGGGCTTCAGCAAGAGTGAGCAAACCAATTGAGCTGTGCCCATGGCACCTCATGGATGGTGAACCAGTTGGGATATCCAACCATCCGACAAACAATCAACCTTATCCAACTCTGCCGAACAAGCAACACATCGTGTCGTCAGTGAAGTGAAGTTCGGCCACCTCGCCCACCTCACCCGTTCGCACGGACATTCGCTGTCACATCTGCCTTGCCATCTCTCCCGGTGACAGTGACACCTTCCAGCATCGCGTTCATGTTGTCCTGGGTACACGGCGAGGTCTTTTGGACTCCCCCCTCACAAAAGGCAGGCATTCTATTATTGAATCGGTGCCATGAACAGCTTGGTATGTTTTTAACTGTTTTTACAATGTTCTTTAAAGTTCAGGGTTGGGCCATAATCCCGTTTTTCAGCTCGAAAAGCCACCACTCAGGGATCCTGCAGCCAGGAGGCAAAGTATTTCAACAGGTTAATTAGGGGTGTTCTGGATATCCAGGACAGGCATGACATTCACCGCAGCCCCAAATGTCAAATTGGAAAGAACACATCCAGAAGCCATGCCATAGAAATCCCCTCCTCCCCTCGGAACAGTTCATTCATTCTTCCGTTTTCACTCATCCGCATGGCGAACACATGTCCACTCATCAGCTCCGGTCACGGCTTCCGAAACGTCGTGACCGCGTCACCCCGGAGACCGCTTCACCTCACTGCGTTTCACTCCGCTTCACCTCACTCCGGTTCACCTCGCCTCGCAGTTCATCAAGTGGCCTCGGTACATCTCCCCCGTCTTCAGCTCACACGTCACCGTGTGGCCGATGCCCTGAGCGCGGTCTTGGGTGAAGAAGCACGGTGAAGAACGAAAAGGGGGGTGACAGGTGCTGGTCTAGCACAGCAAGTCTGTCCACTGACCTCGTCTTTGACGCAATCCGGGTGTATATATAATATAGAGAGTATAACTAGTACTTTATAATATATGATATACGTATCATTATAGATGTACAGTACTATGTAGAGTAATTAGTGCACATTTGATGGTTCTTCGATGCAGAAACAACTGGCCGACATTATAGTAATGGGTAAACCATAGCTCTGCGTTGGACGAGCACATCTTCCAACCTGATCATCCTGTGCAGCACGGTCATCCAAGAAATTGCAAAACTACGCGTTTCTCAAAAACCCAACCAACCCGCCACCCAGCAAAGCCCTCCAGGCCCTCTTTCCAGCACCTGTAGGACAATCTGTCAATCCAGCAGTTCGAGTCCACTATGTTCAGAATTGGCATCCCATCCACCATCATCCACCATCATTCACCATGATCTACCACACACGTACACAAACAAAAGGACAAATATTCAACTGGGCGCGTCTTTATGCACGATGCTTCCTGACAACGCCGGATGCGTCTTCTTTCAACGAATCAATCCCACCTGTTTCTAACGAGCCCCCCACACCGCTGCCGAGCAAAGAAGCTACTAGGAACAAACGGCATCGCTGCTAGGAGCAAGGACGCTACTAGTAGCCTCCTGTCCTTACTACTAGGAACAAGAAGCTATTAGAAACAAGAAATACATATACATAGATTTAAAGTAGAATTTAGTTTTATTAGAATCTATATAACTAAAAACCCTCCCTCTGGAGCCTCCCTTGAAACATGGAAAGACCTCAGACCGATATGGGGTGGTTGGGCCTCATGAAGCAGCTTCACCGGAATGCCCAGCCCCGCCATGGCGTGGCGAGTCCGGTGTGCTCCGGCGTGGCGAGGCGAGTCCCGGCGCAACCGGCGTCCGGAGGCTTTGGCTTGCAGGCAAACGTGGCAAAAGGCCATGCATTTCACCACTACCAGGCATGGTCAATGAGTTTTCAATATGTTATATCTTTTTCAAGGTTCCTCGCGAGTCATACCGGGTGATGTCACCCGCGGAGATCAACTCGCGTCCCGGACATCATGGGACATCTTCTATGTCAAGGAGTAACGCATCTTTGAGAGAGGTTTTCTTGGTCAGCGAGAACTCCAAAAAAACAAGTCAAGTCGATGTTGATGTCCAAAATCATCCGATGATTCTCTCTTCATTTTCTTGAAATTTGAGAATTTAGTAGAATGTAAGACTGCTGCCAACGGTCAAGCCATCATTGTCCTGTATCCCCAATTTTGACAGGGTTTAACCCCTTTTTTCAGATTGTGTAACTGATGTCCCCCGTCCATTGGTTTGCTCCTTCACCACAGTGCTGGTTCTTTCAGCTTTTCAACCATCGCGCTGCTCCATCGCGCTGCTCTCATTCGACGAGGCTCGAAGGCCATATTTGGTCTCCAAAGCCTTGGGAGGGTGCTGCACGATCTCTTCATCCGACCGATCTGCTACCAAGAGTTGCGAAAAAATCATCCTCTGAAGCCAACTCCCGCTCGAGGAATTAATCATCTCCTCCGTGCGTTTCAGTGTCTCCAGCTGCGAACCATGATTTTCTGAAGAGGTGATGAATTCCGCTTGCCGGACATGGAATCTATCTCCATGTATCGCTACTGAGTCCATTATGATAGGCTAGAAATGGTTAGGATCGGTGACAAAACACCTCGTGCAAAGTAAACACAGTTTTTTTAATTCTTTCTTTTATCTATATAGCGTGAGTTATCCAGCTCCAATCTGGTAGCAGGGTACCTAGTAGTTTGTTTTTAGTACCCGCCTACTTAATGAAGTAAGGGTGAGGGCAATGGATGCAAAAACAACAGGAATGGTTAGGATCAGTGACAGAATCGCATTCAAGATCAGTGAATCACCTATCCCCTCCTGAACAGTGATCAAAAGCAACTACTGCGAGGCTAAAGTTTAATCAGACATCCCTCATCCCTCCATGCTCTCAGGCCCGAGCCGAAAGGCATTTTTCCGCCTCATTCACCCCATCCGCTGTTCGATGGCGAGATGTACATGAGAGGCACCCGAACTCCGATGGAGAATCAGTTGTGTACCCCAATCGGGTCCACTGAAGGGAGGTCAAAGGAAGTTCAAACAAAAACAAAGTCCACAGCCGATGATCTGTGAGCCTGATCAACAAAACAGAGGAGACCTCGCCTGGAACGGCAAACAATACCTGCAGTAAATGATTACAATAAAAATCAATATAGATGTCAATGTGCATAGTTGCCCCCAAATGAAGTATCGACTAGATATTCAGTACAGTTTCGCCATGCCTAGATATGCCTAGGCCATGGCCTTGGGCTGCACGCGCTGCAGCTTCCAACAGCAAACAGCTCAGTCTCCGGACATTCTTTTGCGCTTCTTCCTTCGCTGCAAGACCTTCTCCAAGCCTGGGAAGTAATCAGAACAACCAGCAGTCATCGGGAAGGAACATGAAGAGCGAGTCCTGAAAAATTGACAAACCGTCTTATCTACCGCCGAAATCGACCAACTCCCCAAAGTCCACCCTTGAGTCACCAATTACATCCAAAAACAGGATCAGATGCTTCCGTCAACTCCAGACTAAACCAGAGCATGTTCGTCTCCCCCCCAAAAAAGCAAAGCTTTCTCAACTTGGTACTCTAGAGCAGCTCGTAGCTCGTAGCTCGTAGCTCAGCTCGAGCATTCACTTACGGACCTCCGTCGGTCAGATGTCTCCAGATCTCTGTGAATGTCACGCTCGGAACATGGAGGACATCGTCCGCTGGGTCACAGCCATCAACTACGACATGAAGCATCATGAACATATTTACGTAAACCAACACCATGCTCGTGCAAAGTCTGGAGGGATGTTTGTTGTGGGTTTGTCACCGTTCCACCTTCATGATCTGAAGGCGCCCGTGGCATCCCGTACCTCCTCCGTTCCTCCTCTGACGCCCGCACGGCTTGAAGTAGCCACCGAGGACCCGCCGGCCACCCACCTCCAGCACCGCCTCCCACGACCGGCCACGCGGTCGGAATCGCCTCCCACGACCGGCCACGCGGTCGGAATGGCGGTCGGAACGGCTGTCTTCGACGGCCGTTCCGGCAGGTGACGGTCACTCGTTGAATTCGTTTTCTCCCTTGGAACACACACATAGGAGACCACGGATGGTGAGCTAGTGGAGGGTCCATTGAAGCATGTTGAAGCGACGAGCTGTCACAAGGGCAGCAGCATTGCCGCATACCACGCACAAGGGGGATGTTCCCTTGTCAACTAATTACAGTGAGTTCTCAGGCAAGGAAAAGTCATTTTCTTCAAGTGGCGTCATCTCATCTCCATTGCTTCATGACAGAAACGTTTAATGCCCCATAGGGCTCCAACCACACCCTCAGGTGCTTGGGGTGGGTGATGGTGGGTGCCAGTGAGGTCTGTTTCCTACCTGCCCTACCTTCGGATGCGGGCCAGGAGGCATTCCACCACCCACGACCACCCCATCGGCCCCACCGGACGTCCGACCTCATAGGCTTCCACTCCTTCGTGCCAACGGACCTCGACCGAAGGCAGGACCAGACCGTGACCCAGCCGGATGAAGAAAACGGAGAAGAAGCGAGAAGAACCGGAGGATGAAGCGAAGGACTTCACTTTCGAAGGACTTCACCTTCGACGTCCAACAAAGGGGGATCAGCAGGGGGTCAGTGAACCCGGGTGTGGTCAGCAGTCACTCGCCCAGTCACTCGGTGAGTTCGTTGGATCACTTGGCCAGCTCCGGTGGATCCTTCGGTCACCTGGCGGGTTGGAACCGAGCAGGCGTAAAGCCTGCCATACCCACTCAAGCTGGGAGAATTAACTATATATAGTCATACTAGTATACTATACGATTAATACAATGTGATTGCATAGACATAAGACATATGTACAATTATGTACACTCTGATGTCATATGATATATAATTCATGTTATTTCCATAAATATCCGGTCCATAAATATAGCATTGGGGACCAAACCACCCAAATAAGGATCATATGGGAAACACACACCATTTTTACCAGTGGAGGTGAATGCCTCTTCAACTTCGAATGTCTTGCGCGAAGGGCCGGGAGGAACCGCACACGAGTTGTGGATGTTTAGGTATTGACCCACAGTCAAGCCATGCTTCTAGTTGGGGGTGATATGCAACACACCTGGTTCAAAGACACTCTAGCTTCTCGCTTTCAACATAAAGCATAACGGTACGTGACTTGGTACGTGTAACCCTGGGGTCATGTATGCCGTATACATCCGTATACCATATACCACAAACACGCATGTGTACTTGTTGGTCCTTCACTTTCAGACCTGCGGACCTCTCAGCCGCCTTTTCCCTCGCATGGATGACCGGCCGTCTCACACGACGCGGCAAATGGGCGCATGTAGCTGCTGGTGAGGCACTGCCTGGTGAGGTACGACGGGAAGGTATGCTTCAAACACTTGCAAGGAATGCCTCAAGAATTTCGCGGGCATCTTGTACATCCATGACATCAGGCTTCAGGTAGTTTCCCAGGTTGTTCTAGTGCATCTTGTGCTGACAATGTCAACCTTTGACACCATGTGAAAAAGCTTGGAACACTCAGACTCAGTTCAATCCGTAGAATTCTTCAAGAATTCTTCAACTCTATTTTGGTGACCACGGGCTGAAACAGTAGGGCTGGCCCGCAGCAAGTTCGTGGCTGGCAGCTTACTCCCTCAAAATCTGTCCTGGAGATGGATTTTGCATCAGTCCCCAGCTTCGTGGTTTGCTGATGTGCATCATAAAAGGCACCAATGGCAAACAGCGGCCCAAGTCCCTTTTTGGGGTTCAAATAGGTTAAGTCCCCTGTGAGGTTGAACCTGGATCCATATTTTTAAGAACTGAACTCCCACATTGTGATACACTCCTGGAACACATATGGAAGTGGAAATGGCGTCTGGAATGACAATTTTCTGCTACAAACAGGGGGTTTTCCACTTCTATGTTAGTTCCAGGGATGATAACCATTCTTTAGTCAAGCGTTCCGGCCTATTGTTGGTCTTAAACCACAAACCTTTCTGGTCGGATTCGATGGACTTTCAGAAATACACTTTCATTGAACATGGCAATGGAGGAAAATGACCCATTGGACAACTGTTTCCCTTGTAATCATTTCGCATTGTCAAACATATGTTGCACAATCCGTTGCGTCCAACATAGTAAACACATGTAAAACCAGTGTTTGCCTTTGCCTTGGTGGTAGCCATCAGGGTTGAAGTTCTTTTCATCTTCTGGTTGCCAGGTTCTTCGCCAAGTTCGTCAACCACTCCCAAATCATCTGTCAAAGGGAGGCTAAACACTCAAGAAAGAACCGCCATGAACCGCCCAAGTTCGGGACCGCAACACACTCGGCTGGTCGTTTTGCAGCAAACTCTCTGGAGGTAGTGGTGGTGATGGTAGTGGCCAAGACTGGTGTCATATTTTCATACATTACATTATAACTATATACAACGACTTATACAACGTATTCTCTGATCCTGGTGGTACAACGTATGCTTTGCAGCTTCTTGTCACTTGTCTTGTCTGCTCTCTTGGATCACTTCCGTCCATCTCACCTACCCACCGTCCATCTCTCGACACCGTTCCCACGCGCCTCCTGGAGCTGTCCGATGGTGATGAGCGCCTCTTGGGTTTTCACGAAGGTCTGTTGAGAGACCTCCAAACTGCAGGCCCACTCGGTGCCGTCCAGCCATTCACCTCAGACCGGTGGTGAGGGGAGTGGAAGTGAGCCATGCTTTAGAGGGAAAGGAACTTTTGGGGGAGTTTGGCCCTAGGGTTCAACATACCCTTTGGCCCTAAGGTGATGTGTTCGACACTGTTATGTAGGTGCCAGGAGGACCTTCTGAGAAGGTACTTGGATCCGTAGGGAGGGGGAGAGACAAAGCATGTGACTGGATCCAACACTTCTTTGAGGTTGCCTGTAAGCCTCTGAAGTTCACATCTGCCTCCCTCTGGCGCCTTAACTTGTGGAACAAGGATGGGATCGATTGGATGGATAGACGTAAAACAAAGTGACAATGTCCTTGACAAACCGGTGTCAGGAGGTCCATGTTCTTACACGTCAGAACATTCGAGCAAGGTACAAAATGTTGCTCCAGTCCGCAGTACGAGTCCCAGGACCGTACCGTTTCAATATTCTTTCAAAATCATTAAAAACAAAAAGTCACTGCGAACTCTGCGTGGGAGGTTCCGACCTGTTCCAAGCACATGTTTGTTGACATTGGCTGGCACTCTCCCAGTGTCAGTTCGACGATCTCCTTACCCGGCCCTCAGATCACTGGAACTGCCCAGTTCTACCAAATCCGGACCCATAAGGGGTACGTGATGGACATCCCTTAACCTCGAAGGGGCTGTTAATGATACTCCTATATATAGATAGATATATTGATAAATATAGTAATATATATATATATATAAATATTACACTTACATACAATTACTGAATTCCTCGGAGCTGTGGGTCTCCACAACCGATTGAGGCCACATGGGGTCGACCCCACATCGTTCTTGCTCGCTGCGGCATGCGTCGGCCCAGCAAGTCCAAGCCACGCGCATCATCAATGCCCAGAGCGTGGTTCTCAGAGACGTACTGCACCTGGGCGTCGAAAGGAGAGATCACAGCTGCACGACATAGAAACTCAGCTGAATAAAACGTTGCTGTTTTCTTTTATTCACAAGTAAACTGTCATGATCGTGAAACGTCACGTGAAAGTCACGTGATGTGATATCGATCTTCTCTTCCTTCGGGAGCTCACTCCCACACCCCGTTCACCCGAATTGTCACTGGGCGATGGGACCGTCTTGTCCGCCGCGTTGGCCTCGACCGGTGACAAAGACGGACCGATGCTCGAGTCGAGGTTGGGATCTGATCTCAACTGGTGAGAGACTTCAACTGATTCTGCCTTCTCAACTGGTGAGTGACTCTGGTAGAACTGATCTCAACTGATTCAACTGCATTGAGTGGAGAGTTCCCTTTCAATGCAACTGGATCAACTCTGACCGACTTTAAACAAAGGTGCTCAGTGATATGGTTCTGCTCAGTGATATGTAGCATATCATCAGCACCAGCACGTTTGGCTTTATCATCTGTGATGCACTTGGGAGGATTTGTTCATTATGGGATGAGCATATTCCTTGCGGATTCCTGGTATCCATCTGTCTGACATGGACTCCATCAGAAACCACATATATAGGCTGTGGCGTAGTCCATCAAGAGACCTTCTTTGGACACATGGAACTGGTGAGCTTCCTTCCTGAGCTTTGGCAAATCCAACAGAAAACATGATGTAATTCTATATTAATATAAATATTGTATAACACATCCTTGACTTTAAAACATAACTACTTCTACATGCTTTTACTCCGACCGATTCTCCCCGGTGGATTCAGCATCTATGGGGTTCGGCTTCTTACGATGTTCACCAGCTGTGCAGGATCTTCTGAACATCTCAGTTTTTTCTGGACCGCACATCTTATGATTTCTGTGCGGGAAAAACAAACACACAGTGCAACTGGAGCTGATTTTGGCCCCACAAGCCAGATGTCAAGCCCGTCTCAAAGAAAACGTGCCACATGGGACCTTCTTCTAGAACCTTCTTCTGGGTCTTAGCAAAACATGTTCAGCCCAATTTGCCAATCCAAGCCTTGAACTCATCACATAAGCCTTTGGTGATTTCCACCTCAGCTTGCGGGGCTATAGGCAGATTTGAAGATGAAGCTCCGAGCAAAACCGCTGGCAGCGAAGCAAACTCAAGCGCATGCGGAGTGCACTTTGCGCAAGCCGGCCTTCTGAAGGTTGTGACTGACCCAGCTTGCTAAATAAAGCTCCAAAGAACCCATTCGAACACAACATGGATGCCCACCGGTGTTCCCCCACCACCGCCTGCCATCCTCCGGACACCGTGTTGCCCCCTCTCCATGCGGGAAAAGGGCCATCGCTTGCAGCTGCTCTTCCTTCGAAGCCAAGGCTTCCGCGGAGGCCACAAACAAAAAGCAAGGCCAAGGCGTAGGCACCTGGAGACCGAGGGTCGGACGTCCGTGCTGGGTCCCTCGGGACCCACGTGAGGGTCGTTCGGACGAGTGAGGTCAGGTGAGCACTTCAATTCAGATGGTCTGTGCCAAAAGAGTAAGGTGACTCTTGGAAGCATTCCACAAAATACCCATGGATTGATATATATATATATACAACTATATAATATACATACAACTATATATACATACAACCCCCAAACATGCACTAAATCTGGATGTGGGTCAAGCCGAGCAACAGCAAAACACCTAACTAGTAGAATTGCACTCCTTTTAGATCACTCTGTTCTCTTTCCCAGGTTTGACACTCCAAGTCAGAGTCTTGACCAACCCCCCACAGGGTCATAGAACTGCAACAGATCCAAACTCTCATTAGACCGGCTGATCTTTCACATCCTCCCGGTCGAGGAGTCGAGGCACCTCACCGATGATGTCCCACTCCTCGGCCGCCGTTTCACGGCTGGACGAGTTCGTCCATCCCGACCCCCAAACCCTTGGATCTGGGCGCCCCCCCGGTCTCATCTCGACCGGGAATTTCAAGAACCCCATCAGATTCGATCGGACATGTCTTGACCCTAAGAAGTTGCACTCTCTTCGCCCTAAACATCACGTACTGCTTCCAACATATCGGTCGTTCACATTTGTCCCACCCGTCGCGGCGACCCGTCGCGGCCTGTGCCAGGCCATGTACGCCCGAGCGGCCCCCGTGT